CACATACGGTAAGAGATACGTGTATCGGTTTACGGTTTACGCAAACCCATTCGCTGCATTTTTGTTGCTGCAGATATGTATATGCCAATCATTGAGACAGACCTGCTACAACACAGTAATCTACTCATAGATACGTGCAAACAGAGGTTTGTGAACAGAAATACCGAATTAATTGTTTGTGGAATTTCAGTTTTTGGTTGTAAACTATTTGAAGTTGAGCTTAAAATTGACCCATTCTATCGATGGATACTCGATGAGTGTTCCAAACAATACCAAACACTATCCAAACTACCATGTAAAACCAGCGATGTTACTCGCCATATCATGACCACAGGACCACCTGTATTTTCGAAAGCGCGCCTACCAACTCTCGAGAAGCTACTCGAAAAAAAGTTTGTTAGTCCTGCTTTCAGACAGTAAACTGAGGTCCCATTCGTTGCAACTAGTATAGACTACAGGCGCCAAACGGTTTGTAAAACGCAAAATATTTCTACATATTTTGACATTTCTTGCTGCTGATCTCTAGGTAGTTGCTAGGACGGTCTTTAAATTAGAGTCTCTCTCTGGGAAGTAAGAGTTGAGGCGTATGCAATTTAGATGTTGTGATACGATGATGTACTCAGCGCTGTCAGATGTGACATTTTGAGAACTGTTTCCTTCATTTTGATCATTCGTATCAAATTTGCAAGACCAATGTGACAATGTGTATACGAAAAACAATGGATACAGTCTATTAAACGGGAAAATGAGCAACATAAATGACATACTGAACAGTAACTATGGGATAAAAAACAAGTCGATAAAACTTTAAATGAATGACTGGTGAATAAATAAGGGATAACCATACCAAGTCAAAGACAGTCAAGGTGATGAACCTTTAATGCTGCCACGGCTTACATTATAAAACCCATAGTCTTCCGTACCTTTAAGTTGATTGCCGTTATTTGGTCAGACAAAATTAGGACGTCCGAGTGTCGTAAGCCAAATCTCGAGTGAAATCGAATTCTCTTAGCGCAATAAAATTCTTTATAGTTAACGGAAGCATTGTTGACGACTGTGATACTATTTGTGGACTATCTCGCAATGCTTCATGCCTGAAACTGAAACCTCTACCAATACATTTCCATTGTTGATATCTAGATACCTATCCAAAATTTATTTCATATCCACCAAAATCGAGCAGGCCATAGCTACCCCGAAAAAGTCGTATGTAGGTGGACCGGAAGGGATTCTTTCATCATTTGTGAAATATTATAGTAGGGAAATCCCATTATTCTGTTTAAAATCGTTCAACCTATCTATGGAATATGGAGCCTATTCATCTTTATGGAAAACATCTATAATCTCCCTTAGATTAAAAACGGGATCATGTAGTGATATTGCTAAGTATAGGCCCATTAACTTGATATCTGTACTACCAAGAACCATAGAAAAACATCAACAAACAGCTATTACCATTTTTACTTTCACCTGACCTGATTAACCCATCCTTACACGAGTTTATGGTTAAACGCTCATGCTTAACATCGCGTCTGGACTTTTTCGACCAAATTACCAGAAAAGAAATGTTCGTCACTTAGTGATAATTCTGTACTTTGATTTTAGTAGGGCTTTCGTCGGCATCCCACACAAACTTCTAAATCTTTTTCAACACAACGTGGCCGAGTCGCCCGTCTTGGATCTCGCTACTCTAAGCCTGTGAATGTAACTCGTGGGGTTATACAAGGATGTGTGATTGGCCCACAACTCTTTCTCCTTTCTGTTAATGACGTATGTTCTCTCTTTCAGCATACAAAAAATGTACCTTACCCACTCTTGAACATGGCATTTTAGTTCATAGTAATTGCAGGCATAATGATCTGATCAAAATTGAAGGCGTTCAAATGAGGTTCACTAAAGCTGTTTCGGGGTAACCCGATAGCAAGGATTATCCCCAAAGATGTCAACAACTAAAATGAGAACCTCTCTGGATCAGTCCTACCAAATTAAACCCTGTCATTATCTATCGGCTTATTCACGATATTACTAATACTTCGGCATCCACCCCTTCGTATTGTATGGTATCATACCACAATCTACCCAGTAAGAAAAATATTCTAGCGATTCAGAGGACCTACGCAATTACACGGAACCTGATTTATTATTATTTCATAATCCTTATTCCTTTTTTTACTTTCTTCCTTTCCCTTTTTTAAATATGGTCAACGTTGTGCTAGTACTACTGAAACCTGTTTGTTATGGTATTTCTGAAGAAACCCGAAATGGTTTCTTCAAAACATTTATGCACCCATAAGATGTTTGCGAATAATAATAGTAATACAGTTGCGCAGTTACTAGATATAAGCGTTATATTGCCAAGGTTAGCAAGATTGTCTTCAAACTTTGCTGAAAAATTACTGAAATTCTACGCATATAACCGTGAAGTCATTGCAGATAGTATCATCCTTGATAAGGAACGGCATATCTTTTTTTCGTTGGCAAATGCGTTTTCTCAGAAAAGACGTTAAGTTTGGTGTTTTAGAGTTAATTTGAAGAGCATCGAGCCCCTCCCCGTTATCAATACGATTGCGTAATACCCTGACAGATTCGTAAGCTCCATGTATCCTTAGCAAGGGTGAAAATTCTTTAAGAATGTGTAGGGTTGAAGACAGCCTTCTGATTTCTACACACTTTACTTCGGAGAAAGGAAGAGTTATCGTTGATAATCCTGTGCGTTTTTCCATGATTTACAGTATTTAAGCACGACATTATACCCACGCAAAGGTCTGCCATTGAGTCTGGTGATAATTGATTCGCAAAATAACCATGGGAGCAACTTTTAGGTTGATGTATTGGCTACATGAGCGCTTAACCGTCTCCTATAATGGTGATGGAGCAAACTCGTCGTGAACTTCAACGACGTCACATGCACAGTACCAGCTTCTTAAACTTCTTATCATGTTCTGCTGCGTGGCCTTATCCAATTTATTTGGTTCAGGAGGCTGTACTGCTTCCTCCTCTGTGTCGTTAATGGGTAGTGCTCTCTTTGCCACTCCATACAGCACCTTACAAGACAAATGGTGCCCATGAGACAGAGGACAGATGAAAGGAATAGTGGCACAACTACAAACGGCTTGAAAACTGTTGGGTCCGGAGCTTTTTGTGTCACCAGTTGCAAGGGAGAAAATATGCTGATGATCGCCTAACTTTTCCACCTCAAATGACTCAACGTCATCACTCGTGAACATTATCAGTTCTACTTTTCTGTCTTTTCCTTTTTCTTCTTCATTTCTTTGTGGTGCACCACCGAAAACACATATCTGGAACATATGGCTTCGCCTACGTTTTCAATAATGTTTTCGAGACTTTGGAAGGATTAATAGTTGTTCACTAGGAGCCTGTTAGCTTCGTATCTTGGAACACTATGAAGAAGCATAAAAAGATAGTTACAGTTGGGGTTTTTAATTGGCCAATTATTGATCTGGCACATTTTGTTTTGATATAAATAGCTATAGACTTTGCGTTTTGTGTGCTGCACGAACGTTCATAGTCTCACAAACAAATCATTTGAGCTAAGCTAAATGATGGATGTAACATGTCTCCATGTGATCGCTGTTACAGAGATGGAACTTATCGTAGATACTGACTGTTCCCCCCTCATTGTAGGAGGCATCTGCACAGAAGTGATAGAGTTATAAATCTAAAGAAAGTCAGCATAATATTATATGTTAGAGATCGCTTTCTTGTACATTCGAGCACGTAAGTGGCGCATGATGATGTCACATGTGTGGTAGCTTGTCTTACAATAAAATCTAGCCCCGGATCAGTGATAACAGTGAGAATATACCGCATCCTGCACAGCCTTACTGACGACTTTGTCATTATTCATATCTGTCCTTGTACTAGAGCTGTTTGGTGTATCATAGTTGGAGATTTCAACGCTCCGCATATCAACTAGTTAGGACTTACAACTTCAGGTGAATTTTTCGGCTGCAGACTGCTTTCAACCCTTATTTGGTGCACACTGCTGCGATGCACCACAAAATCGCTACACGTTGGCTTGGAACACGATCCTCCATTGTTGGAACGTGTCTTTATTACCACCGTGTTGATTTCATTGACATTCTGTACGCTCCACTAGAAAACAATTACCAAGTTGTACTGTACGCTAGTTTTCGAACACAATATACAACACAAACTTCCTCCGCCCCGTTCCAATATCTAGCGGGCTAAAATTCCGACAGTTAGGGGCTGTGCTATCTTAAGATTGGTTGGTTGATACAGATGGAGACAATCGGGATACGTTTAAAGTCCCATTCGAGTCCATAACCTTACCGTTCATCCTATGGTCAACACGTAGGCCATCACATTGCCTCCCATTGATCGATGAAGAGACCCGAAAGGTTCCGAGGCGTACGAAACACTTTTTGGACTTGTTTTGTGAACAGGCCACAAATCGTTTGAGTGTGAATAGAGAAGAATACGGAATATATATAAGAAAGCCATAACCAGCTGTCGTACCACTTAAGGAAGCTGCACCTGCTCACAAACATTGGTTGGTATATCAAACGAAGAATAGTTCTCATCCATTATTGATTCACGAAAGTTCAGACAAACTAGTCGAATCAGATCTGGCCAAATAGGAGACGCTATCAAACTTTTTCAGCGAAGTCTACTCTTAGGGTAGTGTCAGCAATACTTTTCATAACCACACCATTTGGATGTCAGCCATGGAACCTGTACATGTCAGTCCAGTGAATTGCAAATGTCATAACGTGGATGGGATGCTCATAAAATTATCATCTGGCAAGTGAGTGATGTAAATGCGTGAACGTCATAATTTAATATCAAGAACAAAAGTAGACTCCTTCAAAAGAAAGTTGGATCAGCTGAGAGACCATCATCGCCAGGACTAACACAGGCCATTAAGCCTCCTGTCCTTTCCAAACTGAAACTGAAACTGAATTTGAAGCTAGATGTTCCACAAATTACGGTGACCTAGAAGTCCCGGTGACAACCTTGGGGCGAACGTGGTAATGCCTTTCCGCTATTTGCATTTCCTGGTATGCGCACTGTGTATTTCGTCACCAAATAATACTTGATCATATACCAAAAAAGTGCGCCTGGGAAAAACTGGCGGCTTGCATTACTAATTTGCATTTTAATGCACTTCGAAATGAAACCTGATATATTACTACCTTTTTCATTTTACCGTAAGAACCAGCTTTGTGTATTTCAAGTTGTTGTCGTAAATTACAAATTTCCTGCTGTCGTTGGGGTTTCATCCTCAGACAATGTTGAGATCTCTGATGAGGTGTTATCCAAGTTTGGTCCAGATTTACCTCGAAGATTGACCATTCAACTACCAACCCGAGTGATTCCGGCTAAGTCGTTAAGACTAGAGATTATGTAACCTGAATTATTCTAATTTTACGGTGAAACAGGACTCCGGTGGACCCGGTTCTCTTACCTTTTTTGGAAAATAGTCTCCATTACAGATTGCGTAAGTCTCGTGACATTGATTGTTAAATTCTTCAGAGATGTCACACACCATGGTTGGAACAAAGCAGACTATTCGAGCACTTGGTGATCACTTCAGTTTACTAATCGTCGAGGCCATTTCAGCATCTGGAGAATCGTTCCCCATTCAAAACATCAGGGGAACCATGTAAGATGTCTTTATTCATTATTCAGCTCAGTCTGACATGTTTTTCCTTGTCATATATTTAGTTCCAACACAAAGTCAGTTAACCATCTGTTAAGTCTGATTTAAGCCCCTAAAGCTCTCAAGAAACGTGGTTCTATGAACACGACTTTGCCTGCAAGACTCATTTCCTTGATTTAACATGTTGCCTCTAAAAGTGAACTAGTAATAAACCATGTTAGTTCAAGGGTGAAAATCAGCTGTATCTCCCTATAATCGATCCCAGCTATTAGCCTTTTCATTGAGATCAATTTTTTGGATAAAGTCTGTGGTCGTTAATCATAAAATCCTTGCAGGTTTATTCAAGAGCTTATTCATCAAACCATCCTATTTGGAGTGTTGAGTATGTTCTCATTCATTAGTATGAAGTTAACCATCTCCTTTATCTTAATGAACTGTTCTGATTGAGTGAAAACTTGACTAAATTGGCTAAACCAAACCGTGGGATTAATCGGTGACGTTTCTAATATTTGGTCTTCATACTGTTTGTGATTACTCCTTTTGGTAAAGATGAAAAAAATGATCCAGTCTGTATGTCTGAAAACTAGTCAGAGTAATGCAGGTACATTCAATCTTGTAGATCAACGATTGGTTGCATTATTATTTACCTTCTGTCCTTCATTTGATTTATTTTCCGCCTTCAAGTTTTTTGTATTGTACCGGGCTCCATATTATTATACTAGCTCCTGTGTTATGTATTTCGTCACTGCCGAGTATAGCTCCTTTAAGATTCAGGTAGTAACTTATCGAAGCTGTTCTAGTTAATTGCAACCTTGTCTTATGCACGTCGATACGTCTTTTTGAAATTATGGGCATCATTTTTGTCTTATCATATTTTAATCTACTTTCTGGATGTAAACATCCGATTTCTACACTTTTGTCTGACTTCATAACATTCCACCCAATGACTACTTTCCACTTTACCCACATTCTTAGGAACTTCATGTTTAGACAGTTCTCTGCATCTAGTTTGTTCTGAACTGTAGATGCCATTATTTATTGAAATCCTTTTCGTCATCTAAAATTACCTTATGTTTTCAATTGCTTAATTTTACAGTTTAAAAGAGGATTATGACTTTCCTTCACATTTCAACAACCTCACTTTTCCCTCGAATTCATTCAATAACAGTGATAATCTTTGGTCATGTGAGCTTATTCAGTCACCTTCTGATCAACCTGTTTTCAAAGTGAGTTTCGTAACAATAAATTGTAAAACCCAAGTTTTGATTTAGTACTATTGGAGTGACTAAAATGTTACTGAATCGCGTAACTCATACTTACGTCCTAAAAGTCAAAGGAGGCTGAGAGGATCCGCGAGATGATAGCGATCGATGATTAAAGATCTTGAGTGACATGGCTCAAAATCGTGCATCCAATCTTTATGTTCTCCCAAATTCTAATTCTTCATGTCTCTTTTTTTTCTCCTTCCAAATTTATTTCGCTGGATTATACTCCTTCAATAACATCTTCAAACCCTGGTCTTTCACATAATGCTTATACTCTTACTACTTTTACCACTATGAGATTTGAATCGACAACTGCATCTCTGTGCTTATGTGGTATGGCGACTCGAACTGATGTACGTACGTACGTACGAAGTTCTACGTTGTGACTGACTGACTGCCAGGATGTTCACCTGTTGACTTTGGATACGCCGATATAGTCTTGTTTGGTGAAGACAATAAAGTGTCGTCTCCGGGCTACCTTTAGCAACAATCCATGCATATTTAGGATGTTTCTCTCCCTCTAAATCCAAAATATCGGTTCAAGACCTGTTCTCTGTCAATCCCTGAACCGATTGTACGAATTGAAGCGGTTGATTGCATTGACTGCCTCAATTGCCACCAAAGTCTCATCAGTCCTGGCAGATTAGAATGTGACAAAGTATCGGTGCAAACACATAGAGTTCGTTTGACTTTATCCAACTTCCGTCATCTTGTAACTTAGGCAATATGTCTATCTACCAACTAAAGGATGCATTGACTGTGCAACCTTTGTTTCCGTTCTAATTAGTGGGTGTAAAACCTGGCCTTCAAAAGATAGAGGATATTCATAGGTTACTAGTATTCGATCGTAGGACTCTTCGAACCATTGGCCTTATATTTTGGAACCATCTGGCTAGCAATTCTGAGCTTAAATGCAAAGTACTACGTAAGTGTAGCGAACAGTTGATGAAGTAGTAAATCGTTATCAACTGAGATAGTCAGAATATGCATTACGTGCACCTTTATACAGACCACCTCAATGCGCGATGATGGTTGATGTAGGAACAGGCTGGGAGAAGGCCAGGGTGGCCAAACGAAGATATGGCATCAGTTACTAATTACTAGACTGAGCTATTTAGGTAGGTACAATATACCTAGTCGGGGTCTACGTCTTTATCGTAGTCAGTGGTTACAAACTTTGAACGACATGGCTTAAAAACGTTCGCAATGGTACAGGTGCATGGATTCTTTGTTTCTCCTTGATTCCTAAGTTTTTAAATTTCCTACCCATTTTTATTTCACTAATTTATGTTTTCTTGAATTGTATCTTTGATGCCTAATCTTTCTTATTACCAATATTATTGTCACTATTTCTACTACTCTAGGATTTTCTCTGACAATTTCATTTTGCTATGCTAATGGGGTATGGGAACTTAAGCCGATGTACACATGCTCCAGATTTTACGTTGCATATGACTGACAGACTGGTAGTCGGTTCATGTAGTTGACTTATTTTAGATTTTTTCTTGATTTCGGACATTATGTTCTACATAATGCCTGAAAATATATTTTTGTCATTCAGTAGAGAAATTCATTCAATTTCTTGAAACCAAGTTACTGTCGCTTAGCACAAGGCTGATACAGTAAAAATTAATTGTCGGTACTCTAAATGTGTAAACAAACAATACTTGTAAATCGTTTCGTCTTATAGCGATATCTGGGTTGACATAATAATTTTGTGCACGAATTAATTATTCCACCTCTTTTATATTTTTCATTGTTGGAGTAATCCAGCGCATTACTTCACATAAGTAGTTCTAAATGGCAGGTTTTTAAATCTTTGACGCCTGTTGAAGACGTTTACTTTCCATTCTCATATTAGAATGTCTTACCATGTAACTTATCATACATTCTTTACTTCTTCGAACCCAGTCCATATTGGTGTATTGATTTTATAACTGTTTTTCATTATACCTGGTCATTTAATTGAGGTATCGATTCTTAGGTAAGTTATATATATATATATATATATATATATATATATATATTCATTAGAAAATGTTTTGATAGTTTCCCCTCATCCGGCCACTTCTGTGGAATAAATAATGGTTTTGCTCCACACTTTAATCTTACTTCCCAGTAATAATAAGTCCTGTGTTGATAATCTTGATAATTTCAGTTCCCTAATTATAAATATTACATTTTCTGAGGTATTAGTTCTCATGGTATGCTTATTTATTTAACGGAATTCGGTCGATAAAGAAAATAGGAGGTGGAATGCCCTTAAAAATTCTGACTTTTCTGTGGACCATTTTGGTAATTAAACATTGTGGATCATTTATTTTATTTAAACACATAAATATTGGTACAAGGAAGCACCAGATAAATATGCGCCTCACAAATCTCATTTGATTTGTGTGAGGGCTGTGATACTGCCCAGATGCCCAGACTGAAGCAGGTATATGGATCATAGTTTTGTCGCAAGACTGTATTCCGTTTAAAAATACATTCTATCAAATTCATTAACTGTGGTATACATTATCTGATTTTATACTGTTCATCATTCATAAATATCCAGTTTACATTTTACGGTACCCAACTTTTCTCACACCTAACTTTGCAGCTTTTTTAATTTCAGAATTCATTTCTATTTAATATTAAAAACTAGTTGTCTAGTGAAATCTAACTTTGTGAATTCTTTAAGTCAGTCTAATCTATTTTGTCTCATTAAGTTTTTCATTGCATACTTTATTCTGACTATATTTTATGCGTTCCGTCATTATTTTAGATTTGTTCTTCTACCAAATTGATCTTGGTCCAAGCTGAAGCTTCACCTAATTTGTCAGCTGGGTTTGGAAGATCTAAGATTTCCAAGTTGACACCAAAAGTCAATTACATCACCAGTCACTTGTTTGGTTTGGATACAGTTAGAGATGTAATTCTCGGCTATCTCAGCAACTTCCTACTAACGTGTGTTCATGGAAATGACACTGTTTTTTCTTCCAATATAACTCCTGGGATTATCCTTTATGGACTTCCTGGCTGTGGAAAGCGTACATTTCTTGAGAATATTGCCAATGACCAAATCCACTTAGTTTCGACAATTGGGGTAAATTTCCTTCCCGTTACAAGTTGAATCTATTTTGTTAATACCAGTTATATATATATTCCTATCATTTGTATGATATTGTCATTTTTTTCTTGTAGTCCTTGTATGAAAAGCCGGTATTCATTACATTTACATCTGAATTGGTCACCGAATTAACTAATAAATCTTCTCATCATAATGCCTATCGCTGGCTGACGAATTTGGTTGGACAATTAGATGTCAGCAACAGAAACTGCATTCCTGTAATTATTTTATGGCCTAACATCGACAAGTGGATCGATAACGATGAAAATATAGATACTAATACTCATTCTACAGCTGATACGGATGTTGAATCAAAAATGTTTCCTAAAATTTTAGAAAGGTTTATCGAATCAATCCAATTGGTTAGTCAGAGTTTGGTTCACAATCAAAAGCCAACATATCGATTTTGCATTCTAGCAACAGCTACTACGATTGACAAAGTTTTTAGCATCCATGAATGCAGGGAACTATTTTATAGACGTTTGTTAATATCACTTCCGGATGCAAGCAAACGTTATCAGATCTTGTATCACAATATCCAAACGTGTTTGAGTCATGGGACTAATTTCATGTCTAGTAGTGAATCTTCTCACGGTTCCATTGTGAATATTCAATCATACGATATAACAGATGAAAATGAAAGTCTTATTCAGGTTGCGGCTCGATTACATGGTTATACGCCCAAGTAAGTAGACCTATTTCGAACTAGTGATTGGAACTACATGAAATTCGTTGTAGTTTAGTAACCCGATTATATTATTAGGTTTAGTCGCTAAATGTTTTTCATCCAATTTTTTTAAAGTTACACATCTTTACAGGTGAACAACTGACTAGTCATTAGCTGCGTATTTGAATAAGTTTGGAATTTTTAAAATACTGTCATCAATGAAAAAAATTAGATAATGAACTAGACGTTTAGTGCAAAGGTTTTCATTTCAAGTTAACACCAGTTGGAAAGGTTTTAGTTACTTGTTTCACCATACTTCAGGGCAAGTCATTAATGCACTCATATGATTGGGTTTACGATAGAACTTAGATCATTCTTTCCCTCTAGATGCATAATGCTGCTACACAATTGGTTAATGTGTACGCCTAAACCAATGCTAGAGAGTGATGTTTTTGAGCTCATCGTCCATTTTACTTATCTTGTAAGCTCTGTTAGGTTGGTGTCCGGGTAAATCTCAACACGGATTTAAAAATCTTTCTGGCTTTTGACAGCGAAGGGGTTGGATGTACTGCTCAGGAGTATTTGTTCTGTTCTGCTTTGTGTCTGTGACACGTAGCCCTTAAATATAGAGGACATGCGCAGATTATAACTATTTGATGGTGAATATCTTCAGAGCAATATCAATTTTAGGTGCAGGGTAGTGGGCGAAAATAGTAAATTGGTTGATAAAATTGTTGGTCGTTATCAGTTGCGATAGTTGGGAAATAGATTACGTATCCATTATCCGACTTATTTACTCTAATTGCTTAGTATTATTCGGACACTTTACCTCACTCAACTAGTCCTCAAAGTTAGAAAACGGCTTGGACAAGTACTTAGTTATATTCATAATAAGATAAGTTGTATGGAAGTGAATCACCCTGCTTCTGTTTGGGCACCCGGGCAGTATCACAGCCCACACACAAATGAATGAAATGATGAACTCTATTGACGATTCTATTCCTGCTCATATTATAAGCAAGACAATTTACATTATTATTATTATTATTATTATTATTATTATTATTATTATTACTTACCATATCGCTAATTCACCCCCTTTTATCCCCAATTTGTGTAACCTTACTCTTCAACTTATGCAGCAGCTCGCCCATGGTGGAAAATCTGTCCTATCTAAACGATCTCCAGTCACTGTCTGGTTGAAAGTGAATGCTTCCACCGATAATGAATACTGAGGCAGTCTTTCTGAAACCACGTACGCCGTTCAAGCTGGCTTCCTTCAACGTTCGCACACTAATGCAGATCAGACAACAGATAGGGCTGGCTATGTCTTTGGAAGGTCTTAATGTTGATGTTTGTTGTCTATCTGAGACCCGTATTCAAGACTCTAGTGAAGTACTACAAATCCGCTCTCCATCTGTCGCCTCGAAGAGCTTGTTCCACGTGCGCTTATCCGGGGACCCTGTGGCATCTTCGTCTGGTCTTGCTGGCGTTGGTGTCGCACTAAGCGCTAGGGCTGAGGCAGCACTAATCGATTGGATCCCCATTAACAGTCGGTTATGTGCTGTTAGATTAGAAAGTTCCATCAAAGTGAGAAGAAATCGGCGTGAGAAACGGTGTCTTTTCGTCATCTCCGCCTATGCTCCGAGAGATTGCAGCCCGGATGCAATCAAGGATGAGTTTTACCATCAGTTAACAGTTCTTCTCCAGAAAGCGCGTTCGACAGATATTGTAGTACTAGCCGGAGACTTGAATGCACAGGTCGGGCGTCTAGGCATAGAAGAGAGTCGTCTAGGTGGCCGATGGGGACTTGTTGGTCGCCGGACAGATAACGGGGACCGTTTGCTGCAACTGTGCACAGACCACAACCTGTTTCTGGCCAGCACCAACTTCCGGCACAGTCATCGCCGGTGTGCCACCTGGCGTCCTCCCTCTGCATCCCAAGCCTGGACTCAGATTGATCACATCGCGATCAGCTACCGCTGGCGTGGTTGTGTACAAGACTGCCGCTCCTTTTGGAGTACTTACCTGGAGTCTGATCATGCCCTGGTCTGCGCCAATCTCACCTTACTTTACAGTGGCCGAAGGATTGACCACCACCAACGGATTGATATTAGTAAACTGGCTGCAACTCCTGTTGCAAGTAAGTATCGAGCGGAGCTAGCCTCTAGGCTAGCTAACACCCCACCGAAAAGTATAGATGAGCATTGGTTGCATCTTCAAGACGCCATGAAAATGGCGAGTAAAGCCGCTTGCGGCTTCGCGAAACGTCCCGCTTACAAGCACTGGGTTTCTTCTGGCTCCTTACAACTGATGGAAGCCCGTCGGTCTACTCCAGGTGACCGTGAGTTTGACCACAAACGAAGGCTGTTACGTAATGAAATCGGGCAAAGCTTGCGTAAGGACCGAGAAGCCTGGTGGTCGGTGCGTGCTAATGATATGGAAGCAGCAGCTGCATCTGGTAACTGCCGGAAGCTCTTCCAACTCATCCGAGCCACTGGCAGCGAGAAGTCTGGTGTGAGTGAAACAATCTACGAGGATGATGGGATGCCAATCACTAACATCTCCCGACGTCTTGGACGATGGGCGGAATTTTTCGAAGGGCAGTTCAACTGGCCTGCTGCTCCGGCAACATCAACCAGCTTGTCCTGCCCCCATGGCCGGTGACGACTGTTCCACCAAACGAGGCGGAAGTCCGCAAGGAACTCCAACTCTTGAAACGTTATAAATCACCTGGCCCAGATGACTTACCTCCGGCTCTTTTTAAAGATGGTGGCGACTTTCTGACTAAGGAATTGACTGTGTTGTTTGGAAAGGTTTGGGAGCAAGAAAGTGTTCCAACATCATGGAATGAGTCAATAGTCGTCCCTATCTTTAAAAAGGGTTCGCGTTGTTCCTGCAATAACTATCGGGGGATAAGTCTACTTCCGATTGCGTCCAAACTATTGGCTTCTATCATTCTTCGTAGGTTGTTTAAAACCCGAGAACGATTGACTCGCGAGGAGCAGGCTGGTTTTCGTTCTGGTCGAGGATGCATTGATCACATCTTCACCCTCCGCCAAATGTTAGAACACCGTCATACTTATCGCAAGCCAACAATCGTAGTGTTTCTTGATATCAGGGCTACCTTCGATTCTTTGGACAGGACTGTTCTCTGGGATTGTCTATTGAAGAAGGGTGTGCCTGAGAAGTTCATTAACATCTTAAAGGCCCTGTATACGAACACCTCAGGCAGAGTGAGGGCATACAACCACCTTTCTCCCTTGTTCCATTCGAGCAGTGGGGTTAGGCAGGGTTGCCCGATCTCACCATTCCTCTTCAACTTTGCCATCGACGACATCCTGGAAACAGCTCTGATGGATGTAAGTAATGGCGGTGTGGATATGTTGCCTGGAGAACGACTTCTCGACCTTGAGAATGCGGATGATATTGTCTTACTGTGCGATAATGCCCAAGGCATGCAATCAGCACTTAATCAGTTGGCAATCAGTGTCCGCAGGTACGACATGTGCTTTGCACCCTCCAAGTGCAAAGTACTCCTACAAGACTGGCAGGATTCTCATCCTGTACTCACCCTAGATGGTGAGCAGATCGAAGTAGTTGAGAAGTTCGTGTATCTAGATAGCTATATAAGTGCTGGTGGTGGCGTGAGTGATGAGATTGATGCACGTGTAAGGAAAGCCAGATCGGCTTATGCCAAACTGGGCCACCTTTAGCACCTTCGTGATGTTAGTCTGTCTGTAAAAGGTCGGATCTACAACACGCCAGTCAGAGCAGTTTTGCTCTATGCTTGTGAAACCTGGCCTCTCCGAGTTGAGGATGTTAGACATCTCTCTGTGTTCGATCATCGTTGTCTCCGAAGGATTGCTGACATCCAGTGGCAACACCATGTTAGTAATGCAGAGGTTCGGCATCGTGTGTTCGGGCACAGAGACGATAATTCAACTAGTGTCACCATCTTGAAACACCGACTTCGGTGGCTTGGACATGTTTTACGAATGTCTTCCCAGAGACTTCCACGTCGTGCATTATTTGCCGACTCTGGGACTGGTTGGAAAAAGCGGAGAGGAGGTCAGTGTATGACATGGTGTCGTGGTATGAAAGAAAGCTGCAAAGGGCTAGCTTCTGTTGGTCCTTCACGACTCCTTGGTTGGGGTCCGAGAGATGATGCAACACAGTGGCTAGAGACGTTATCAGATATGGCTCAGAATAGAAGCCAGTGGCGATCCTGCTGCAACCTTCTTTTACTTTCTACATAAAGAATGGTTCTAACTTTCCTAACTGAAAGAGTCTTCTGGTTGTACATTTTAGTCCGCCTTATCTTTTCATCCCTTCTCTTTCTACTTTCATTATTTTGTGTGGCGCATATGTACCTGGTGCCCTTTTGTACCAATATATATGTGTTTAAATAAATAATAAATAAGTGAATCACAGTAAGAAAAACGTCAGTATATTTATAATTTTACACAAGGAAACTCTAAAATCTCCAGTTATTCTGTAGCGCTGATTGAAGAAGGAAGGGGCACTCAATAGACTACAACATAATTCAACTTGGAACATGCTTAAATCCAATTTTCGTCCTGCTAAAAATGCCTGGTTCCACCTTACTTTGATGTTCTATATTTACTGTTATAAGAGAGCTGGTGGTAACAAGACTAAGACGTGGCATCGTTCCATGAAGTTAATAACTGTTAGACTGAAACATGTAGTTAGGTGCAGACCACTTGGTTAAACTCTATGCAACTTCCGTAACCAGTAGCGGGAGACGTTGAGTGTCGTGGTTAAGAATCAATCAAAATGACACATGCATTCATTTTTCGTCTTTCATTTTGCTTGGGATAGTCAATCTCCAAAATCAAACTTAAAATTCGTATACCCATTTAAAGTCGCATATGCACTACAGTGGTGGAAGTTAGAATAGTTTAGTTTTGTTATCGGGCTTCAAAATCAATGATGTCAATAATGCTTATCACCTCACGGGTCTCTCTGAAAGAAACGTTGTCATACTATTTGGGCATCTGGTCAAAGTCGATTCCCACACATCCTCTCACAGCACTCAAAAGTATAAAAAAAGTTTCGCTCGTTGTTTCTCAAATTCATCATTCTTATTGTCAGCCCGTCACTTATTATCATTATTATTATTACTATTATTATTATTTGAACACATAAATCTTGGTACAAAGGGATACCAAATACATATGCGCCACACAATAACAATGAAAATGTGAAGAGATAGAGAATGTTAGGTGCGTATAAGAGAAAGGGGAACTATGATAGTGAAGTAGTAATAATAATAATGGGAGAAGCAGTTCAGTTAGCAAAGGTACAACCAGAAAGAATTCTTCCAGTTAAAGGAGTTACGTCCATTTTTTGTGAAGATAGTAAAATAAATTTACAGCGGGGTCGCCAATGACTTCTACTCTGAGCCATGTCTGACAACGTCTCTAGCCACTGTGTTGCATCATCTCTAGGACCTCAACCAGGGAGTCGTGAAGGACTAACAAAAGTCAGTCCTGCACAGTTTTCTTTCATACCACGACACCATGTCATATATTGACCACCTCTCCGACGTATTTAATAGATTATCTTTCAGGAACTTCATAGTTTTTTTGATATGTGCAGGAAGATTTTGTACTTATTGGAGGAACTGATTCTTTCGGAAACTGTATTTCTATAGAATCTCTTTGTTAACACTACGATATGTTCCTAAAGTTTGTATTATTCACACTGATTGAGTCATTTGTTACTACTCGTAGTTTGTAATAATCATCTTTTTGCTTTGATACTAATTGTGTTCTAGAATAAATACCATGTATGAAACCTGTTTTGGAGTCATGAATGCTTCTTTTTATCATTTGGTGTTTTAAGTTGGGATGATTCAAAAAGTTCAACTTTTTTAAACATCTTATTTTATTTATTGATTCTGTCGTTTTTTAAAGGGATTTGGTTCGCTTGGTTCATGTCAGCTACGCATCCTTTCTATCCAAACAGAACGACAATTCAAAGGATTTTCCCAGAAACTTTAATCAATCATTGGACTCGTTCTGTGAAATTTTGATAAATGAATCTCATTCATATTTGCCGATAAATCTTTCTCAACATATAACTTCAGTGGAACCGTTAAGGTGGACTGATATTGGTGGATATCGTGAGCTGAAACTCACATTCAAAACTATGATACAAGATCGTTTGGTTAGTGCCGCCAAACCCAATAGCTTAGATGCACAAGCGGACGCTGCTTTACGTCTTCGTGTACCTCGTGGGATATTACTTCATGGTCCTCCAGGTAAGTTATTTTCCATGTGCTAGTTTTTTGTTTACATTTTATAAAGTTTTATTTGTATGACTGAATTTTCTAAAGTTCACAGCGACCGTAGAATTAAAGTGTTTTATTGTTAACCAAAACCAAGAAAACGTGAAATACGATCTTATTCTTATTTTAAATAAAAGATAACTGTTAAAAACATATCGGGAGATAAACTCATTTTCATTAGAAAACGCCAATTTACCATTTCAGTATGATTTTTGGAAATTCGAAGTTGTTAATCACAGTGTACAGTTATTTCAATAATGTTCATTCTATGAATTACAAATACCTACAATTAGTTTTATTTGTAAATACGCAACAATATCACTGTAGCTATTTACACATATCCGTAATAAATTTGTTACTGAAATCTCTACGTATTAGGTTTGTTCATTTCGTCATTATTAGAAGTATTCAACAAAACATAAATATATAATTCAGTCGAGTGCGTGTTAGTGTTCTATAAACTAGTGTTTCTTATATGGATGCCATATTGGATCGGGTTTTGTGAAGATTGTAGTAATTGAATAGTTAAATTCATGAGTCAATTGAAGTCAGACCACCATGGAAAACCTGGAAGCACTGGACGACCGTTTCATCCTAGTATGAGACTCTTCAGAAGTGCGCATCCATTATCCCGTTTGTAGGATTCGAATTTGGGACATTCGGTCTCGCGCGCGAGCACTTAACCTCTAGACCGCTGAGCCGGCATCCAACGGCGTTAGTCTAACTTTAACCAATCCACGAAATTGAGCGACTTATCCACCATTGTCTTCAGTGAGTTACTATCTCACAACAGACCCGGTTGAACTCCACTGGTCACTGCTTCTCACTAGAACTCCAGGATATACCTCATGGAGCCAGTCTTTAGTGAGCATATGATGGTTTTTATAATTACTATGTGCTGTTTACTTTGAATTCTCATTTTATTGTATTAAGTTTGGTGTTGGTAAGTTTTGTTTGCCAACCATCTCCACAAACTTAAATTTTATTATGTATTTCCAATATTCGACATCATTTTGCCACCTGAATCAGTAGATAAATGCAGACAAAATCAGACTATCCGAAGTTTTAACATGGTTAATCAAATGGTCATCAAGTCATGCCTTGAAAACGATCGTTGGGAACTGTAGTCATTGAAAAGAGAATAGAAAATGTTTCGCACAACGTATGTGGAACGTTTGGAACGTGGATTAGGCACATCACTCAAATCCACAGAAAAAGAAGGACGTTGAACATGGTAGATAGACAAGTGAGTCTTCCACCGGATATAATTACTGATAATCCAATGACGGAGACTCCCAAGGACATTCATAGTCGCTGGACACCAAGGAGGTCGAAACGCCTCCGGAAACCAGTCATAAAGCTACAAGTAGAGCTGGAGAAGCCTTATGTTTAGAAGGAGGAAGGTCTTGGGAAGACCCAGAAAATTCTCCGAAAAAAGCCCAAAGGGGCCTTAAAAACACTGGAAAACATTTTATTCAACCATCTACGAGTCGAAGTTTCCCAGAAACATCTAGAAGGTGCAGAGTTGCGTGTCACATTCCACGTTGGACGATTACCTATCCTGCTACTATGTTTATAAGGGTCCCGAACTTTCCAGAAACTCAAAGTCATCTGAAATGCTGTAAATATCCTAGATTTTCTTTACATAAAATAACCTTGTAGTAAAACGTTTGTTTTGTTATTCACGCTTTCCCCCTCCTGTTCAAGTTGCCGTATAGAGCTAGTCTGGGGTTATTAGAAGAGCTTAGGAAACGGATTCAAGCGTCCAGTCGGAAGATTTATCAGTAACTGTATGCTTTTTGATAACTTATTTAAAAAGATTGGAAAGTGTTATTCATACAGCATTGAAATAGTTCTTGAATCTGCACACTATTTTAAATGCTTAAACTTATTTTGTCACGTAATATAGAAATTTTTCAAACTAATATATTAGATTGCGCAATATTCACTCAATGTTTTCATTTATACTGGGGGTTTTATCTTTTGTGCATAGGTTGTTCCAAAACTATGTTTGTGCGAGCTTTGGCTACTGAATGTCAACTCCCGCTAATCGCAGTTCAGGCATCTAGGATATTTGGTCGTTATGTTGGTGACAGTGAACGTAATATGCGAAGAATCCTTGTACATGCTCGTGCTTCCGCTCCTGCTATTTTGTTTATTGATGAAATTGATCTGTTGCTTCCTTCCCGAAATACAGGGTTTGTGATATTCATCTACATAGTATTGCTATAATGTATCTAATTTCCTTTTTGATGAATTAATTTAGTCTCGAACACCAGTACCCAAATATATACATGTAGTCGTTGTGTCGTGTCATTTTATTTTCTAGTGATTTGTAAATTTAAGCGTCATGGAGTCTTCAAGCTTATCAAAATAAGGTGTAAGATTATTTTCCGAATTGTTTGGTTATTAATCTGTCACATGGTACGAGGCATTTATTAACTGTCTTACTTCATTTTTTTCTGACAGTGGTGTAGTGTCTTATTAACTTTCACAATTTAGATCGGGTTTAATATCTAGTATACATACTACCTGTAAATAGCTGCTATTGTCAATAACTTTTTAACTTGTGTATCATAACTTTCTGCACTGTTTCTAAGGTGTAAATAAATAATTCATTTGTATTGGTTGTCTGGCAACTGGCGAGTCCCATTTAAGACGAGATGCGCGTCCTGAATTCCAATGCTAGTTATCATCCAAGTCTACATATAAGCACATAGTTTCACAAAATTGCGTGTTTGGTTTACAGAAGTCATTGGATATTAATTATATGAGCGAAAATCCCGGAAGTTAAATAATTCCGCTATCTTTTCTACTAGTTTTTTTCGGGCATATAATAGCTAAAGTAGTGCCCAAGAGGAAAGTTACCTCTTTCTTTTGAAACTAAAAACATTTTATGAATTTGGTTTATGTGTAATCAGACATCTTATCTTTTTCTGAGCTTTTTATGTTAATATCTTTTGAAACTTCCCGTCGTTATTTAGAGAAACAAGTGCAAGTGAACATGTCTTAGGTGAAGTCTTAATGGCTATGGATGGAGTTGAAGGTCAAAATGGACAAGTAATTCTCGTAGCAGCGACTAACAGAATGGATAATTTAGATTCAGTAAGTAATTATTGTTTGATCTAACTTTTTAAAAACAGCTTTCATAACTGGCGGATATCATCCGAATAACCATTGAAAACGAGCGAATAGTAATCGGTCGTTGTGTCTTAGGTTGAGATCCTTCAGCTACATGCGCTTACCCCACATAGGACTGAACTCACTTGAGAACCTTCAGGTTTCATGTCCCACCAAACAGTTATTAATTTGGTAGAAATCCATTATTCATCATTCCTAATTAAAGTCGACTAGCAGTATTTCCCCTACTTTTAATTGAACTATAGTCAGGACGTAATTGCTAATCAAAATTACTTTTGGGACTTTGGACAATGTTGGGAATGGTAGATCTACAGAAATCACTTGGTAAATGTTCCGATTTCGTAATATTATTTTGGGAATTTGAATTCCTCATTTTCATGCCAAAAACGCCCACTTTTACCTTCAGTTGTATTTCCTACTCAGAAAGACCTTAACTTGTCACATTTAAACAGCATAGGATTACAGATAAAGAGTAAATAATTGTAATCACTTGGTATCTGCTATGAATTTCAGCCTTGCGAAATCAAGTGTCGTGTAAATATAATCCTGATACATAACTGTATAGAAATGTCGAATTCATCAATGAAATCGTCTCCTGAGATGGTTAGAATGTATTTTGCACATCCCCAGTCACCGCTCCTCAATGCACATTTCTGTCTAAAAAAGGAGTTAGGAATGGTCAAACAAAAACATTACATGTCCATTACAATTCGTGAAGCAATCGGCCAATATTGAACTGTCGTGCTGAAAAATTCAGAATTCTTTGTTGGGGTCTGGAATAATTGTAATATCTGTTGTTGGAGTTCGGTTAAAACTTAACTCATTCATCATGTACTTGAGTATAAAGCGACACCCTAAGTATGAGAGCTAATGATACTATCAGGTCACCTAAACCGAAGTAGGTTATGGAGGGTTCGGACCAGGTTCTTGGTGGCTGAAACTTAAACGCCGTAACCTATAGGTCCACCTCTCTACATTACTCAAACCAGTTGCTATGGTGCATGAATATTCATCTTTTTTCTATAGTTCGAGTTCCATGTCATTATATACTGTCCACTCCAATTGATATCATTACATCGATTCCCATCCATTATCTTTTGATCACTTCCTTTTTCGCTGGACATACGTAAGTCGTGGCCAACTGAATCGAATTATGCTTAAATCAGGTTCAGTGGTTTATTTTCTACATTCGTACGTATTTCCACATTTGTTCGCAAAAAGGATTAAAATTCTTCTTTGTTAATTGTTTTCATCTCACTATAAATAACTTTTTATGCTTTCCTCTCAGGCATTAAGTCGCGCTGGTCGTTTTGATTTAGTCATTGAAGTATCACCACCCGATGCAGACGCACGAACAGATATTCTACGTTTAGAATTATCAAAACGTGCACTAAAAGATAAATCATTATTAAATTGTAAATGGCTAAATTTATTCGCTACAAATCAATTGAATAATTACACAGGAGCAGAAGTTGTCCAAGTAGTTCAACAAGCTGCTCAAATTGCTCGTCAAGATAATTCTAATCAAATATCTAAAAAACATCTTCTACAAGCTCAGACTCTTTTGCCTCCTCGTTCACTTTTAAATTATTTCTCTCAAAGAAAAATAATAAACAACCAGGTGACTATGTCAACCAATAATAATTTGTTATCAATTCGTCAGAAAACTTTAATTTTTCCAGTTTTAATTCTATGTATTGCTATTATTTCCCAACTGGTTTATATTAACAACATATTTAAAATTATATGAAAAGATACTCCTTATTTTTGAAGATATTGATAGTGTTGATAAACTCAGTTATTGCTTCCCTGTGATTATACGGGTGTGTTATATTCTCCTTTTTTTTAAATATTTTAAAATATATGTGTACATTTTTATTAAAGAATGATAACGCTATGATATCTCTGCCATATATTTTTATTATGTACTACGAATACAGGAAAAGTGATGAAAATGACTCGTTCGTTCTTTTTTTTTACAAAATTTTATCTCTGTGGTTTGTCTGCGATCAATTTATTTTGAACTCGATCCTTTAGAGAATGGGCTGCGAAAACGTACATATCATTTAATTAGCTACATACAAGTATATATTCATTTTAGAAAACATTTGTATTTTTTTCTTTATGTTTATGAATTCTAAGTACCTATACGTTGCTCAGAGAGAGAGGATATGCTAGAAGAAAGATGTTGAATAGAATATACTCATAAGTTGACTCACAACTTTCTGAAACCAGTATAGTAAACCGTCATGTACTCCAGTTACTGTTTAAGCCACTAGTTACTGGTAAGTTGAGATTTTTATGCTACTGTGTACCAAAAATGACGTATAAAAGTAGAGTCATATGAAATGCAGGCGATTACGGAATAGCTATTTTTCTGGACATTGCCGGGATTGGGAATACGGGAAACCCAAATCATGCTACAGCATAGTATTTAGTTCAATCTTCAGTCAGTATACATATTGATATTTAATTTATCAACGTATATGGTAGTGGTGAATTAGTCTTTTGTTCAGAGGTTATCCCAATAAAATCAATGAGAATGGAAAGACCAATGTATGGCGGAGTCTGTGCGGATTGTTCATCACAATCCATGTGATCAGAGGGAACTGAAACACCTGAAGTAAAGTCACTTCTGTTTGGAAGGAGGATTGATAATTCAGCTCAGCTCACATAACACATCACCAAAATATCCTCCTGCTAAACTACAGATCCATTACATTCCAATCATTTATGTTATTTGCTCTAATAGCTCTTAAACCTGGATTTCGCAACAATCCATATAATTGCTATAAAATGTATCTTATTTACTAAGTACAGGTTTATATGCTTGACTTTTGGCCACATAAATAGTTTGGTGATTAGTGATACTACTCAACTAGTAAACTGCAGTTTGTAAAGCTATCTAAGAGATGGGCGTTGAACTCTCTGACTTCCAAGTCCCATCTTCAGTTCATACTCCACCATTTCCTTTAGTAAATATGAACGAATAATTTGTGTTTGTTACATATAATTCAAGTATTATTAATTAGCTCGGCAATAAATACAAATTTATTTTTTAATATTTTAAATTACATATTACTTTTTCATTTATGGAAACGAAATAAGTAGTTTATTGTAAATCCATGTGAATTCAGCACACAGTTATAATTCAATATAGTTTTTCAGAAAAAACTGATAAGAAGTTAAGATATTGTTGTCGCAGAACTGAAACACTTTGTTGTATAGATAATATCTTTTAAAACTCAAATAATCTCCTGTTAAGCTTCAAATTTTCTCAATATGCTTTTGATTGTATATTACGATTCTATCCCTAATGAGGATATTGAATTAAATATTTTGTTTCAAGTGAGTTCGTTGTTTGTCCAATAACCGTTGGTGAGTCCATATTCCATAAATTCACAAAACATTTGTCATAACTCTTACTAATACTACCTTTATTATCAGTAGTATTGTAAAGGTTCGTTGTAACTGTTGGTATTTCATGCAGTGCAGGAGTAATTTTATTACTACAAGTATTAAACCCAACATGTTGAGGCTGGTGTAATGAATAAGATAAATCATTTAATGCGTAACAATCTGCCGCTGATGATGTAGCGGTTGATGAAGATACATTTACACCGTATAAACTATTGCTTACATCTAAATAGATAAACAAATAGATTACATTTTTATTCAATTAAGTCTGTTTTTAAATTTGAATCTAGTGAGTAAAAAAGAAAATTTAAGTAATAAAATGAATTGGCATCGTACAGATTTGATTTTGTATCACATACAACCTCTTAAAAGTACAACGGTCAATAGATAAAATGGCTTTCAGCTTTTTTGTACGGAATTCTAAAATTATTGAATCTCACTTTAGATTACACAAAATCATGGAATAGCTCTTTTCTATGTTTCTTGAAATGTCTAAAATTCTTATGAAAATTATTTTATCATCATAGAGTGAGAAAAACGACGTGAATTAAGTCAAATGTACCTCACAATTCAGTAAGCCATCAATGGGACTTAGTAAAGATCAGATCAAATTGACTTGAGTTGAAAATGGAAACCATCAAATACTAACTTCATGATTTAAGGTTATCGGACCCATCATGATATTATGGATGGACTCTGCCGAGTAATATCAAACTAAAACAAAGCAGCTGTTCAGTATTTTTCGACTTTCACTAGTTCTGTGACTGCTAATGAAAACTATTTTCAGCTTATGTATGATCTTCAAAACGTTCATTTTAATATACATAGCTAATACTTACTGGTAGTTTAAGTGAGACTGAAACTGGAAAGAAATTAGTATGAGATAAGCCCAGTGAGTTAATATTTATTCTCTTCATCTGAAATTAGTTAACGTGTTTTCTTTTTTGATCATTTGGTTATAACTTTTAAGTTTTCACTAGTTTGGAGTATATGGTTCGAGTAAATGTTTAGGATAGTTTTATTTTTAAGCGAAAGGTACTGGGTTCAAGTTTTAAAATTCGGGTATATCCACTTTACAGGTCTCAGATAAGATGAAACACTCATCATACATTCCGCTGCTACCTACGATTCGACTTTAATAAGAAAGGGGCTAGGATAATCATTGTAACTTTATTTTACTTCGCTACAGCGCTTGACCGCTAATGTAAGTTAACTATTCATCTCTTGTTGAGTACACTGTTCGAATTGTAATTTACGTAAAACGTATGAAGTTCAAAATGCTGGTCGATGGTATTTACCAATTTTATATTAGTTAAAATAATTTCAATGTTTTCCGTACAACCTATACTAGTCATTTCTTGAAACATTTGTCAATATTTACCATCAGTTTAACTAAAGTGTCTGTCATTTTGGTTTTCATGATCATAGTTAAAGTATAGCGTTGTTAAGTTTCTCTTGATGACGAGATTAAGTAAAAATATAAAAAATTAACTGAATCTCGTTTGTTTCTAAATCACAAGCACTTGATATATATTTAATTGATCATTTAATATTAACCAATATCATTTCGAGGTGTAACTTGATCAGTAGAAGTTGGTTAGCACCAATTATCAGAAAATATGACATCATTTACTATTAATTGTGCTCCAATCGTATTTTAAACAACCCTTCAATGATGAGTAGTCGACATATTTCAGGCGATTATTAGTCAGTTACCATTTTAACCATAAACTTTTTTAACGGTTTACACAATTCATATAGTAGGCGGATGTTTCTTTTTATATACCATCATGTTGAAGCTCCAAATTAATGGAATACATAATCACTTACTACAACATATTTACATTTCATGTTAATAGAAAATTGGCTCTGACTACCATACCTGGATATGTAATTATTTTACCATCTTTTTCATTTATTTGCCAAGATTCATTTTTATTTAATGAATTGATATTTGATACACGTTTTTGTTTGATCCTCAACATTTGTTTTGTTCCTTTATTGATTGAAGATGTTTTCATATTCGATTTCGATTGTTGATATATAGTATTTTTTCGTAATTGATGTGTTTGATAATATATTGCTATAAATATTAATGTATTAAGTAAAAACAATATTGATCCTGTAAATATAATCCAGATTAAAGTTGAATAAGAATATGATAAATGCCCTGATTTAGTTAATGATTGTGAATAAGATTGAATCTCTATGTTAGTTTCATCATCAATTGATTGTGATTTATTTGATAAATTGGAATGCATTAATAATTTATTGTTTTCAAATGGTACTTCTATTATTATATTTGAATTCTGATCAATATCCTATGGTAGTTTAAAAAAACAATATTCGTGAAACAAATTTAAAATGATTCAGTAAAACAAAACAAATCAAAGTGTCATATTGGTGAAATATTTTTGTTTTTGATTTTTCTGGTATATTTCTATGAATTATTCATAAAACATGGATATAAATCTATCATATCTTACATAAATATATGAATTATACGGATTTGAAAGTAACCAATAGTTTTATTAAAATTTAGAATATTAATAAGCATAAAACGTAGTTTCAAGGCTTCCTGTTTCTTAGCTACATTCATCTAAAACTATACAGCGTCTATTTTGATGTCAGATCATATAGACTAATGTTGAGATTGTAGCTTGATAGATGGAAATCAATTAGCATTAAAGAAAGGGTGAACGTGGGATTAAATGATATACAGTAATCATTTAGTGAATATTGTAAAAGAAAATGTATAGGACTAATCAGTATCTGCAATATTCTCATCTCCTCCATAGTTTATATATTTTTATTACAATGAAACATTAACTAAAAGAGAGCTGATGATATACTTAAGGATATTTTCCGAAAAGAGACTATATCATGGAGATATCTTATATACATTATAGATGAACAGAAAATTGACCAAATGCCAGAACAAGTCAGTCAATCATTTATAGGCTATGTAGAATTTGACTCAAACATCTGTTGCAGTTGTCATATTTTGCGCAGAAAGCATATTGATAAGAAATTAACAATTGGAAAATAGAAGAAATCGAAATATTAATGATATCAGTGATAGTAAATAAATTCAAGATACAGGACATAGGAAGTGTAATAAAAAGACAAATTTCACCGGAATAAAGTAATATATTAGCGGGATACCTTTAAGATAATTTGGTTATACATAATTACTTGTCTGAATATTTATTCGAGTATTAACAGACTGAATTAGGCAAATAAGAACTTGAAAGCAACAAGGGTAATCAGGAAATGTATCGTTAAAATACATGAACATTTTGTATATGAAATTACGGTACTTACAAGGTAAATCTAATGTAAAGTTTGAAAAATTCCCATATTGTGATTTAGAACAACATATATAAGCGAATAATATTGTTTTCGATTAGATCCTCATCAAGCTTTACTCTAATATACAGTAATATTTATACGCATATACGAAATTATTAAAACATTCAAGACAGTTTATGAGTCAATGATAACAGTAGAATAGATTACATAATCAAAATTAATAATAAGTGAAAAGTACAAATTGTTAGTGTAATGACAGGTGTACTAGTTGTGATAAGATTAATAAAGGCTTGAATCGATGTTACATAATAGGAAAATAGGTCAATGATTACAAAATATAGACACTGAAATAACATTCATAGAAATTATAAGATTACGTAATAAGAAGTGTTTAGATAATTGGATCGTGAAACGAATATTTGAAAAAAAATAAATTAGCAGGAGGGGTGAAGAAAAATAAACGAAGAAAGAGTATGGAAAATAAAATTATTTATTAAGGCCAAGGGAGAGATAAGGGTGTTACAAATTTCTTATGAACACAAAGACTTGGGTTGTTGGATCGAATTCCTATAGCTTCTGCTATGTGTAAGAGACGGGATAGAACCCCATATGGAAAACTAGTAGGAATACGATGAATAACTTTAAATGACATTTCTGTCAATTATCCGACTTTATCGGTCAAGTGTGAAAGAACTGAGTTCCGTATTATCTTGATAGTACCTTTTCCTAACCACGAAGTGAGGTGTTCACTAACTCATTGGTTCAGTTGTCTGGTAGTGCGCCCACTATAGCTTTCTCCACAAGAGCAGCTGAATCCTAGATACACATAGAAGTGGCATAACCAGGTAACTTATACTTTAATTGAGGAATCACCATAAATCGGGTCGAGTACCATAGACAGAGATTGGCTGCATTAAACGTTCTCTTCACTGCTCTAGTCGGTCTATCACGTAGTGATTCAAGCCTTTATTATTCTTGTCACAACTGGTACACTTGTCATCACACTACCAATTTGTACTTTTCACTTATTATGTTGATTTATGTAATCTATTCTACTGTTATCATTGACTCATAAACTGTCTTGAATGTTTTAATAATTTCGTATATGCATATAAATATTACTGTATATTAGAGTAAAGCTTGATGAGGATCTAATCGAAAACAATATTATTCGCTTATATATATTGTTCTAAATTTAATGTAAGTAAAAACTGTATTTAAATGTTCGTATAATTAATTTTAAACAATTTTCATAGTTGAAATCATGGGTCAATTGAAGCTAGACCGCTATGGAAAACCTGAAAACACTGGACGGTCGATTCGTCCTATTGTGGGACTCTTCAACAGTGCGCATCTACGATCCCGCCTCGCGAGATTCGAACCCAGGACCTACCAGTCTCGAGCCGAAGCCCTTAACCGATAGAATACTGAGCCGGCGTCCAACGGTGTTAATCTCTAACTTCAACTGATCCACGAAGTTGAGCGACCGTTCACCAATTGTCTTCAGTGAGTTGATATCTCTACAACGGACTTGGTAGAACTCCACTGGCCACTGCTTCCCATTAGAACTCAAGGAAATATCTCTTGAAGTCAGTCACTAGTGAGCATATGATTAAATCTAAGTATTCACAAAACCTCGTGATAAAATACAACTTAAACTTAGCTAATTATACGATAATGTAACGTACATTTTCTTTGTATAATGGTAGTTGACTAAAATTTCCAGAATATGATACATTAGAAATGGCACTATGTGTTGTTTCATACAATCTACTATTCTCCACAAGATTTAGCAAATTTTCTACATTTTGGTTGTAATTTTGAAATAGCCTTGAATTAGTTTTCATTTTGTTGACTTGTCCAGTTAACCAATCTTTTTCCTTTAACTGAAGAAAATAAAAGTATTTACTGAACAATGTTTGTTGATATGGATATTTTTCAATATTATCTTCATTCCCATTGTGCATACTGAACCCTTTCGTTTTTCTATCCATCAATGTTAAACGTGGAAATAGTGTAGACCATAATTTATGTTTATCACTTTCATAGAGTTGTTTCATTGTGAAATGTTCATTTTCTTTATTTCCCCATAAATTACGTATATGGCTTTTGGTTTGATGAAAAGATTGTTTACTTCTTGATTCATCACCTATTTGAAAATAATAACGTCAATGAAGTACCAATTATAATAATCTGAGTTAGATTTTTATCATCATGCACATGTATTATTGTTCATATTATGACAGAGGTGAAAGGATATTATTAAGCTCACCCCTGCTAAACGAATATTTCTCGATACTCAAAGATGACTAAATTTGATTGATAGATTTGTTGAATATGGCTTATGGTTGATGTTATCCGTCATATCCTATTTTACTTAGCGACAGATTTTCCAAAGTAAGTAATACAACTAAATCTTTCATAAAATGGTTTAAAACGAATTATCTTCTAACTATTTGTGACTTAGTGAAATGCAGTATACTAATTCATTGGTGATTTATTTATTACAACAAGGTTGTAGATATTTACTGTGAATATGTGATGAGTTCCTTTAAAATTTCGTCTTGATAATCCAACGTCTTTCTGACTATTTGACTGAATGATCACATGTTTATTGCATGGGTAACTCAGACTATTTTAGTAGGCGCAGTTTGTATTTACCAAATCATATGACTATTATGCATTGAAAAGTGACTAAATTTATTCTCAACTACTCCTGATTTTATGATTTTCGCCCAACTATTTTTCTACCTTCAAATTTACTTTCTAACTCTTCTAATGCAAAGTTTATCAATTGGGATTTAAGTGTATTTATGCGAAATAGTTCTGTAGCTCTCATGGTTCTTGTAAAATAAATAATATATACCCATGAAAGCCATCTCATATTAAGTTGTCATTTTTGTTTTCGTAAAAGCCTCAGGAAATTCGGTTTGTCATTGTTTTAATAATGGTCAGAGATTTAGTCGATTACCTGAAGTATTATATTTAAGAGATATCCTATTGATTCCGGGTATTATCTGATGCCAATCGGTTATATGTTGTGTGATATCTAATCGATTTTTATAATACTTAATATTGTTTGCAAAAGGTGTATTCGATTGAATAGAATAATACATTTGTTAGTGTATAAGAAGTTGCTCAGTTTTGTCGCACCTAATTATGAACTATTAGTGTGTACGTGCAACAAATCAGTCTCATTAGTAGTTATTAATCAAAGACACCATTTTTTTTCTTCATATAATCGACTTTCAGTAGTTTATATTGCTTTAATATTTGAATCATTCCTGTTACAATCAAAACGGTTATCGTAATGCAACTATAAATCCTGGAAAGTAATATACGTAATTCCTTTTGATTGCAGTCTATTATTCATTAGTTTGCAAAAAAATACATTTGCATACCAAATGCACTTATGAGTGTTTAGATAACTGTTCAGTACTTTATGGTTTTCAGTGATTATTTAACTAATATCAATCCTTGATGTCAACTAGAAAATTCTATCATCTCTATAAAATTCTATAGCTTACATACTTTGATGAATTTTCGACTTACAGTGTCATAAAAATGTACAGCTTAAAAACGTTCATTGAAAAGAAAATGTGTGATGTTGTCGATCTTGATAATTTTTTCTGATTATTATAAAGAAAAACAATCCTTACCATATAGCACAAGGCCATCAAAAAGCCCCAAAATGCCCTGGTACTGCAGAGAGTCGGGAGAGTACGCTCTCACATAGCCATGCGTATTTTTTGCCTCTGACAGGGAAGTCCTCACTGCCTTCTCGCAGCACCGGTGTTGTTTACGAAATTAAGAGGACGAACAACGAATATTCAGTGCTATAACCTGGTCGGTGGACACGGAAAGTCCACCTAAGGGAGTTGAAAAACCCTGATACAAAACCAATGGTGCATATGGGCTCGCTCCAGTATCCTGAAGGAACAAATGGCGTATGAATCAATCGTTGGTCATCGGATACCATGGGACTGCATCTCCTTACAATGCTCCACTGCTTTGTGGATCAGATCTCTAGGTCAAAGGCACGGGACGTGGCCCCAGGGCAGTATCACAGCCCTCACACAAATCAAATGAGATTTGTGTGGTGCATATATATCTGGTGCCCCTTTATACCAATATTTATATGTTTAAATAAAATCAAATCAGAAAACAGATGATTTCTATTGGTTGCATAAAATAAGCAGTACACGTTTTGAATCACCATATGGTTTAATGTTCATTCACTTTGTTAGTTGTTGACTTATTCAGAATTTTCGGTTTTCTACTTAATTTAAATACGAATCATGGTTGAGCGTTTATCATCCAGTTGCCTAACCTATTTGCGGTTTACTTTACATACCTTTATTTCAATGAATATTCTAAAATGTTAGTTATATAAATCACAATGATGATCACTAACATCTATTCTAGATGAAAACTTTCATATCCATTAAAAAATATATTGAATCTCCTGTTGAAATCCAAATTAATTACCACACTTTCTACTGAGAAAATGAGCAAACACTTTTCCCAGAAACGAAAACAAAGGTAAGATAGTACGCACACAAAATGAAAATCGCAATGGCAATTTAATAGCCTGCAATCTAGGATATACTATAGTCATAATAAAGGAATGCTGTAATTAGAAAAAGTTGTGTTTTTTTTAAATTAAAAATATATACAACTACATTTTAAAGAAATGTTGTGAAAACTCGAAATTGATGTGTTAAACATCATTATTATTCTTTATCTTGAAAACTGTACAGTGAACGTAAATCCTAAGTAAGTTAGTTGTGATGATAGTGTAGTCCAGCTATATAATTTTAGATTGAATATTAACCAAGAAATGAGTGAAACAAAGAAACCAGGCTGAAGATGAAGATATTTTTATTGACTTTCCACAACAAAGTTAACATTTTCAATGAGAACATCAAGACATTTCTATTGTACGGAGTTTAAACTTGGGGAACTAATACAACCATTATCAAGAGGGTACAGGTATTTAGAAACAGTTGTCTAAGCAAGATACACAATATCCGTAAGCCTGATACCATTAGCGACGATCTTCTGTGGCAGAGAACAAACCTGAAACCAGCTGAAATTAAGAAAGACACTGGAGACTGATAGACCACACTTTACGGAAATCACAATAGAAGCCGTAGACTGGAACCCATGGGATGAATGGAAAAAAGGACTGACTAAAGAACACAGCTCCAAGAATTGGGGGCAGACATCACAGGAATGAATAGACTTTGGAAACAACTGGAAAACAGTGGTCAGAATATAGTTGGTTGGAAAATCCTGGTTGGCGGCCTATGCTCCACGAAAGACAACAGGCATAAGTAAATAACAGCAAAATCTAATATGTCATATATCGATTGAAAGATAGATTATATTAATTCATATCTTACCAACATGTAAATAAAGTCTGGAATCATAAGTATATTCTGGCCAATGAACTGGTATTTTTTTAGTTTGATGTCCCATAAATTCTTTGTTTGGGTCACTATATATCAAATCGGAAAAAAATTGTGAAGCATGATTAACTTTCAATATAATTAAATTATCATTGGAATTAGTTAATGATCTTAAAACTTTTATGATCATAGAGTATACAAGTATATGACCGATCACTAATCCTTTATATATAAGCTATTCAAGTAAACGTTTGTTGAGATGCTTCGTGGGTAATGTGTACTACAATTAGATTGTATATTGAATAAAAGCGTGAAATTGATAAACTGGATAGATGAAGATAACATAAGATAAAGGAAACGATATCATAAGTTGCAAATATATTGAATGAAAACATCAATGTATATTATATACTCTGTACTAAGTCATATCAAATCGATGATAGGCCGCACAAAGCGATCGCTTTCCAAACGTATCTCTGAACACTATCCAGCTTGGCTCCTAAAAGGTGAATGTAAAAAGATAATCAGTTCGATACAAGAGCGTTTTATCAATTGTGGACACATTGCTCCAAAAGACACGTCTTTTAAAATAATCTATAGAGTTAAAGGAACCGGATCAAAGGGAGGTCGAATCAATATTTTATGCACTGCTGAGGCATTGGCAATCCATGAATTCAAGCCTGAACTTTGCGTGCAGAAACGATTTGTCCAACCTCTTACCCTTCCTTGGCCCTAATTCCCTCATTGGGTACGTTTTTTGGTTTTTTTTCTGTACTTTTATCTGATTATTATCGGTTTTTTGTTTTTTAAATTACTATTTTACATTTAAACTTTAATCAGTTATTATTATTACCTTATACAAGTTTTCTTGATTATTACTCAGATTATTATTATTATTATGACCTTTGTGTTTGCCGCTTTCCTTCATATCTGTCAATTGAACTATTATCTGACCCATAAATTATTTTCTTCCTTACCCCTTGATTAGTTGTCACCTCATTTGTTATTTATTGTCGAATCAATTTATAATGCAATCTTTCCTAGCCTCCTATAGACATATATTTTCCATATCACTATATATACGAATGTACAGCTTAAGTAAATGATTTCGTCGAAAAGAAAATTTTCTTCGCTGAATTCTCTTTTTCTTATTCAATGAATTTATTGTTTTTAAGCATACTGTAAGCGAAAAATTATTGGGAAACTACAGATTTTAATAGAAGTTCATATAAGGTGATAGATATTATATATATATATATATATATGTATATATATGTATATATATATGTATATATATATATATGTAATGATATATAAGAACTCTCGTCTAAATTAGAACGAATAGTTTCACAGTATTTGAGCGCCGAGTTGAAAAATTCATTCGCTGAGATTTTACAAATATATTATTCCTATTTAATGTCCATGTAATGATATTCTACCATATACTAAACACGAATAGGCAAGGCAAAGATACATATTATAAAGATACCTTTTAATCACGACTGTTCAGTACTTTTTTCTTCTTTCTTCAGAAATGGTGCTACAGATTAACTCTTTTAGTTGATTAAAGCCCTAACTCGAGTGAAGTAGTAAAGTGTAACTAAGTTTTATTTGTACTGATCGGACTAATGAGTATGTAAAAATCACAATGTTTCTGTAGTGACTATGAAATAAGAAGTTTGAAATGAAACCTTTATTCATTTTTTTCATAAAAAATGACAGGCAGACACAGAAAAACTAATAAAAAAGGGAGTATAAACCAGATCTTTGTTTGATTGCTATCGTTCAGAATGTAGATATACTGAACAACTATACTGGATATATCATCATGTTAAAAATATGATCCAGTGTTTCTGGAAAGAGATACGTTCACGGTGAAGCCTTCCTATCATTCAAGTAAATGACCTCATATACTGCTATCTTTAACCAATGATACTCAAGCGGTTGTATAAAATTTTAATTTAATTGCTCTAAAATAATACTTCAATGAGTATGAATTATTTACCACAAATTTCCAGAAAATTTCTAAACGGACATCTTTGATCAACTTTCGGTATGCTTACAACAATTTTGTTAATTCCAGATGATAAGAAAACACTAGAACTTTTGAACATTTAGTAAATTAAGATAGGAATTTCGGAATTACGTTTGTCGTATATCAATGAAAAGATTGTGCAGAAGAACTGGTTTACAACTATAGCTACTTTTGTAATAGGAACTGTATAATGCACTTGAAAATTTGTTCTTTGTTTTGACTATCAGATTTTTTGAAGCTCATAAATAACTGACTATTATCTATCTCTTTCATTGTTTAAAGTAAGCACTTTATACGTGTTTATTAAGTCGTCAATCCGCTTTTTCTTGTAGTTTTACTTTCTTTTAAATTTTTATATCTGTGATATCATTTTTATTAATTGTGCAAAAGAATGTTTGTGGACTCATTAGACTTCTAAAATCAACCGGATGGCACAAGTTTTACCATATTAACTTATTTATCTCATTTAAAACCATTTGATTTCATTAAATCTATGTACGAGTATGATTCAAACAAAGTTAGTCATTCCATCTTCTTTCCCTCACTTAATAAATTTTATTTCAGTTTTTTAATATGTAGGGTTTACTGAAGTTAAACTTTCAATTCAAATAGAGCAATTGAAGTATTTTTTTAAGTTGGTTTTTTCTCACAACCGTACACTAATTTATATTTCACAATAATAGTATAATATCAGTCAAGTGACGGTGTCATAGTTGTACAAGTGACTATGAAAATGTTACCAAATCATTAACTAAATAAGTGAAAAATGTTGAACAGGGTAATTATGATATTTCACGTAGTATGTTGTAATTCAGTACACTATTCATACGTCTCTATTTAAGTCTATGTGGTGTCTTCCATCAGTCAAGTAAGAATGAATGATGCCTTTAATTACATACTATCCTTTAATTAACTAGGTAGGTTGAAACTCTGAATCATGATGAAAGACTTCCTTAGTTTTGAATCCCGTATGAGTAACTGTAACAGAGCAGTTTAACCGGTTAACTCACATGAATATGGGAATTCAGATAGTTTATTTTTGTTTCCAGACGTACCTACAGGCTAAATGGGTTTATTGCAATACCCTTCTTACTCCTTGTGTTAATATTTCTGTAGGCAATATCACTTTTTAAATGTAATTTCCAGATTGATGCCTTTATCATAGTCTCTGTCACCTGCCTTATCATTTTATCTTATTCATGTATTTTTCTGATGAATATGTTTGTATATTCATTCATTTCATCATTAAATACTATAAAATTATAATCTATGTAGTGACAGTAAAATGCTCTCTGGTTGACCATGCCTTCAAGTGGTCTATTCCTCAGTTTTTCCTCAAAAAAGTCTGCAAGAAGTGGATCTAGTGAACATTCCATAGTTAAACCATCTTATTCGTAAAAGTCCTACTTAATAAACTGAAAATACACATTCAATGTGTGCCTGACACTTGGCTCCTTTATTGTAAAGACATGAATTTCTGTTTTAATGCTTTTCTCTATAAGTTCACTGAAAATAAAATCTATTATGTTTGGTAAACAGACATTAGTGAGCAAAGATTATGCTGCTAATGATATCATGACATTACTTTGCACCAACAAGTATTTTTTTATATTATTAAGAAACCTAAAAGAATCTTCTGGATAATGTTCAACTATTTACTTATAATGTGGTTCTAAAATTTTTGACAAAGATTTATTTCAGAAGGGGTTTTGTGGAGATTTAGTATTTTCATAGTTGAAAGCATGAGACTGGTAGGTCTTGGGTTCGAATCTCGCAAGGCGAGGTCGTGGATGCGCACTGTTGAGGAGTCACACAATAGGACGAAACGGTCGTCCCGTGCTTCCAGATTCTCCTTAGTGGTCTAGCTTCAATTGACTCATGCTTTCAACTATGAAAGATTTATTTGTCGTCTTCTACTAACATTTATCAATTCTATTCTTTTACTAGAATTTTACTTCCCTTCCTTTTTTACAGAATATCTTACCAATTAAAATAAAGAATATCTTAATAATATAATAAGTACTACATTAAACGTAAGTTCATTCATTATACACTTTACCCGTTATGCATAAAATTTGCCAAATAATTCATTAAATTAACAGAAATTTTTTTATCCATATCTGTATATTCATTAGAGAATGGTTCTAATTGATTTGGACTAATAAATGGTGCACCAAGTAAATATGGTAAGTCATCAGCAAAACCAATTTTTCCCATTTGTAATTGTTTTCTAGTAGCATTTCTTTGCTTTGTAATTTGTTGACTTGTTTTGTAATTAAAGAATAATGCATAAGTTGATTTCCTGTGTTTATCATAATTGTTAATTTGTTCTTTTAAACGAGTTATTGTTGGTGTACCAGTTGGGAATAATAATGTAGGCAATGATGATGACAATGAAGGATTTTGCATTCTGTTGATCATTCTTTGACTTGTGTAAAAATCACTATGCATTTTCAATGTTTGTATAATTGGAACAGTGTATAATCCATCGGATAATATATCTAGAATTTTCTGTAGTTTGTTTATGAAACATAAAATAAGATGTGGAAAAATTAGTCTGAAACGAATTTAGAAAACTGATTAAAAGTATTTATTTAAAGAAGAATTCAGATGGCTGAATTCACTAGTCGTTTATCCTCAAGCATTGCATATGCCTAGCTACCGCCATAGGGAATAATTCTGTATTGATACCCTGAAGAAGACACAAGAAAGGAAGATCAGGAAGATAGCGATTTAAAGCAGTTTAACAAGAGTAGAGAAAGCCACAGCATGTGCCGAATACGCAGAAGCAAACAAGAAGGTGATGAGGAGCATTATAGCTGACAAGCAGAGATACGTGGAAGACCTAGCAACGAAAGCGGAAAAAGCTGCAACCGAAAGAATTATGATACAACGAAGAAACTGGCAGGGAAATATGGTAAACCAGAGAAACCAGCCAAGGACAAAGAAGGCAAGCCAATTACTGAGATTCAAGAACAGAGGACAGACTGGAAAGAAGGATACCTAATCAGGATACCGAAGTAAGCAGGTCTGATCAAGTGTGAGAACCTATAGTGCGGTACTTCACCAATCGTTCACCTCGATAACCGTTATAATACAAATCTTAACGGTGCATAAAATCAGAAGGCAAAGAGAAGCGGCAACTACAGTCGTATTAATAAATGACGCAGGCCGGAAAGTTATAAGCACATGAGTAAATATCAACGAGCGAAACAAAAGTGCCACTCATTGGAGATGGCGGGCAAGCCAACTCACTTTTGTCAAGCGTTAATCAATATTTATAGTCAGACAAGAATATGTTACAGACATGCGATGAATAGGACAAGAAGTGTACACAAACCTACGCTCATATAAAAAATAGTAGGCGTTAGTAAGTGAATAATTGACAAGGTGAAAACATGACTCATGATGGACAGGTGAATTGGTTTGTCCAGAAGCTTGAATGAAGTATATGAGCTTAGCATATCAACCGATACTACAAACCGCAGCGGCGTCACACGACTATCGGTACTACGAAAAGTTTTCAGCAGAGTGTTGCAGAAGCAAATGAAAGATTCAGTAGACGTCTACCTTCGAGATTAACAGACCGAATTTCGTAAGGATCAGTTGTGCACCAACCAAATCGCGACAATACGAATCATCGGTGAACAATCAACTGAATGGAACTAGTCACTTCAAATCAACTCCCTTTACTGTGAGAACGTGTTAGACAGCTTGAAGAAGAGGACTTTGTGCTATCTTCTTCTACGCTATGGTGTACCGGAGAAAATGGTCAGCATCATCAGGAATTAATACGACGGGCTACACTGCAAATTGTGCATGGAGGGCAGTTGACGGATGCACTGAAAGGGAGTTCTGGTATCAGACAAGACTGCATACGCTTACCTTTTTTCTTTTGTCAAGTTGTTGTCCGGGTTATGAAAACGTCCATATCTGATGGAAATACAGCGGACAAATTGCGTGCGACTTGACGATTTGGACTTCACAAGTGATCTAGCTCTTCTATCCCATACACACGAACAAATGCAGGTGAAGACAACCAATGTAGCAGAAGCCTCTGCACCAGTAGGCCTCGACATACACAAGGGAAAAAAGCAACAACCTCAAGTACAACATGGAGAACACCAACCCAATCACGTTGGAGGTGGACAGGAGATATACTGAGGAAGTCGAAAAACCCCATCATGAGGCAATCACGAACTTAGAAAATGGAAAGAGGCTGACGAAAGTATACGTTACTCAGGGAACTAGATACAGATATCAACAGAAAGGAGAGTACTCGACTTGATTTATTTGGGAATCCTGGTGGTTGGTCTACGCTACTTTACGATGGTTCACAAGCGTTAGTTAGTAAGTAAGTAAGCTACCGCCTACACTCAAGAATAATACTGGCTAACATTGAATGAGAATTTTTTAGAAAGTCTAGCATAGAATAAGTGCTTAACAAAATTGATTGTTTACTCGCACTGTATGAAAATTTCTAAACTTCATGGCTGTGTTCCTAGAGTTGTCTTAAACTAATAGATAGAAACGTCATGTGGAATAAAGTTAAACAGGTTGCAGTGACCGAGATGTTATAATCCCTCATTTTTTAATGATGCTCTGATTTTTATAATATATTATACTTTTAATACTTGTAACTCATCTACCCCTTCAGATTATGTTTTTTATAGTTAAGATCATAAGTCAATTGAAGCTAGACCACCGTGGAAAACCTGGAAGCACTGGACGGCCGTTTCGTCCTATTATGGGACTCCTCAGCAGTGCGCATCCACGAACCCGCTATCGCGAGATTCGAACCCAGGACCTGCCAGTCTCGAGCCAGAGCCCTTAACCGATAGACCACTGAGCTGGCATCTAACGGTGTTAATGTCTAACCTCAACCAATCTACGAAATTGCGCAACCAACTTCCAATGTACTGAGGTAGATACCTGTCTCTACCTGACATGGATTAGCTCCACTGGCCACGACTTCTCACTAGAACTCCAGGAATTACCTCAAAGAGCCAGTCACTAGTGAGCATACGATCATTATCACAAGGGGTTTTTTTGTGGAGATTTAGTAATTTTATAGTTAAGATCATGAGTCAATTGAAGCTAGACCACCGTGGAAAACCTTAACTATAAAATCTTAACTATAAAATTACTAAATCTCTACAAAAAAACCCCTTATGTTTTTTATGTTTAATTTTTGCACATTCGGTTATGTAATTACCGTGACTACTATTCTCTTCGACCTGTGGATTTACTGACTGTTTATACGGAGGCCAAGTTGATGCTGAAGCAGACTGGATAAATACACGTCTATTTTAGATCCTTCGTTGTTCATAAATAACTGATCATTATCTATTTCCATTCATTCAGTGGGAAATAATGAACTAACCTTTGGGATTTACTGCTGAAATTGTTTTCAACTTTTATGAACGGTTTGTATACTTATAATTAAATTACTCTTGGTACAAAAAGTTTACATTAGTTTATCTTGTATTCCTTCTCGATTGATATTAATAACTCACATCAACCTCATTGGGTTTGTACATTTAGAACTGCTTAAATAAAGTGACGTTGATTCGAGGATTACGTCGCTATCCGTTTAGATATATACTTACTTACTTAATTACTTACGCCTGTTACCCCTCGCCGAGGAGCATAGGCCATCCACCAGCATTCTCCATCCAACCCTGTCCTTTCCAGTTAACATTCATCCTTTTCATATCTGCTTCTATTTCCCAGTTTAGATATATCTCTTATATAAATCGCTGGTATTCAGAGTTCAATCACTGTTGTAATTTAATTAGGTGTTGACATAAAAAACACAAGAAAACAAGCAGAACTTATTGACTTGCAATGTCAGATCAATTTACGTCATAATTAATAAACATCTTGTGACCTTTACTAACTGTATATTCTATTTATCAGATGGGATCTACCTTGAATATGAACAAAAGTACTTTTATTATCAAACACTGACCCAACGACAATCAACCTCCTTGAATTGTTTTTCTGAATTCCCAATATAATCATCATTATTATTGTTATTATTAAAATGAAATATATCTGAATTACAATAAGCATATTCAATAATTTCTTTGATCACATCTTGATTATAAGGATATATTTCATATACCAATTTTTCTATTAATAGACTATAAGGCATTTTATGTATATTACTATGTGAATAATATAAATTAGATGCTGGTGCTTCAGTCCATCCAATTAATAAATCTGTATTCATAAATAAACTTGTCTCTATACTGAGAGTTTCTAATATTCGATTATTCAATTCATTAGATTTACCAATAAATTGTGAATACCACTGTTGCGATTGTTGTTGTTGTTGTTGCGGTGGTGGTGGTTTATGATAACCTTGATCATATTGTATTTTTTTAATTGAATTACTATCAATCAAGTAATTTGGAAATAAATTTCTCGATATTACAGGTCCTAAACGTGTTATTAAAAAGGATTGAGTTAATTTTTCTTGTAAATTTATTAAAAATTCAATAGTGGAATTTTTTAAAGTCAAAAATAGATGTTTTAATAATTGTAAAGGTAGATTAATATTTGTAGTAAATGGACCAAGATTATGTAATGAATCATTAAATGGTTTCAATGAATTCATATTGTCAGTTTGTGAAAAGAGTGATTTTTGCCTATTTGAATATTCAATGTTATGATGTTGATAAGGATTATTCTCATTTAATGATTTATTATTTCTTAAATTTTGATTTGTTATATTCAATTGTTTTAATAATTCAATTAAAATAGATGATGTTTTATGTGATGTTGACCATGGTGCAAATCCGGATCCATTCAATAGTATAATACGTTTGATCCCACTACCAGTTGTACCTAAATAATAAAAATAAATAATCAATGAATAATCAAAATATAAGAGTATTTTTTCGAACAAACAATACTCTAAGATCAAAATTAGTAAGAATTAAAGATCCAATTCACAAAGAAGAACAACAAAATTGTGTCTATGAAATCAGATGTAGTGACTGTAATGCAACATATGTAGGTGAAACATCAAGACAACTGAATGTGAGGATGAAGGAACACAAACAATGTTTGAAACACATTCCTAAATCCTCAGATGATGTAAGGAAACTGGAGAACAAATCAGTGATAGCATTATATTCGATAGAATCGGGTCATACAATTGATTTCGTTCACACAAAAATCCTTCAAAAGGATTTCAATTCTTACACGGAAAGGCAAACAGCTGAAGCCCTATACATTTGGGCTAATCCAAACAATATTAATAGGAGAGATGGAATACAATTAGCAGTGCCATGGCAGCTAATCATTAATAAGTAAAAACCTGAAATCCTTAACGTTTTTTTATCTAATTCGTATTATCTAAATGACAACAATTGCATTCGATGATTCTAATCAGTTGTCTCATCGGAATTTGTTAAACAATTCACTGGAACATTAAAAAATGACACATACATACAGTTTTTATAAAAATCTACACTCTTCAAACTTCACTTTTATTTTTGTTTATTTATCTTCATTTTATACATGCTGTAACAGATATGATTCATATCATAGATTACAAATTGTATGTTTCCTTATAAATTCATTGATAAGAGACAATATCTAATGTGAATGTAATATCTCCTCTCACCTCTTACGTTTTTTATACAATATGTTATATTAACGCTTATCATTTCACATCACACATCTCTCACACACTAATACACTTACCTAGTTTAGACTTTGTTAACGTCGATTGGATGACCTATTCAGTGTACAATGAACCCGGAGAACCATGTACCTATTTATATTCGATAATTTTGATGTTTGATTATAATTCCTTGAAAAAGCTTGGACCAGATTGCCAGGCGAAACGTTGGATTTAATTAAAAATTCATTCACTGAGATTTTACAAATATATTATTCCTATTTAATGTCTTACATCAACTCGGTGCTCAAATACTGTGAAACTATTCGCTCTAATTTAGACGAGAGTTCTTATAAATAATTATTATGCTGTCATTTTAAACGAAAACTTAATACTTATTTTAAGTATTAAGTGCTTTTGTATCAAATTCAATGAGGAACCTTTCAATTCTTAGCTGTTTAGTAATTCGATATCCTCTCAATAAAACATATGGTCGAATTCTTTCTATCACTTGTAATTTGTATTGTCAATTCTATTAATAATAAAATTAGTTTGTTTAAATATTATTTGATTTCATTTACTATGTTAACTATTAAGATATTCGTATAGATTTACTCCTGTACCTAACCTAAGGGTTAGACATTTTAGTTATCTAACATTGAAAATCAGAGTATATTAAGGTGAAAGGATGTATTTGTAAAATCTCAGCGAATGAATTTGAAGTAAATCCAACGTTTCACTTGAACCAGATTGCTAAGTGAAATACTGGATTTATTTCAAATTAATTCGCTGAGATTTTACAAATACATTCTTCTTCCTTAATGTCACACATCAATTCAGCGCCCTTGTACTGTGAAACTATTTGTTCAAATTTAGACGAAATACCTTATACAGCGTCTATTGTATATAAAAACAATCTGTTTCGCACCAGTCTCCATGTTATGGTTGTAACTTTACTGTATTTTATAATAATATTTTTATTGTTTCTAAGTCTGTTATAACGTGTGTGTGCGTGTGTGCCCTGTTTGATATCTGAACTTTGCTGACCCCCGTCAATCAGAGAGGAGTGAATTTATCGATCGGACCAGTGATACACAAAAACTGTATGAACAGTCTTGAGTACTTATCGGTCCTGCTTTCTACCTAGCCCAGCCAGTTAAGTCCAGAACACCAATAACAGCCTCTGTAATATAAATCATTATTCACAAACATACTGGGTTTATATACCAACCAAACAGGCCATATCATATCATAAAATAAAAAATAACATTTGTACAAAATTAAACCAAAATTGGCTGTGAATAAGGGGAACAGTAATCAATAGATTGGGAATAACTCAATGATGGTAAATCATATCATAATAGTTCAAGGGTCAAAATGAAGCTTATAATAAGAGTGACACGAATGTAAATAGTTTAGTTACTTAACAATTATACGATAGGAAATATACATATCATATTGGTCCACGAATAGTCCTCAAAGTTACCATTCATAATTTTCCACGGGATACAACAAAGTCAATATGTTTAACGAATTTTATTTCATTAAAAGTCCTCAGCACTTTTAATACATTTTATCCATTTATTTTGTTAGATTTAATCCACTTAACCCCCCCTATCTCATAAATCGTTGTATATAGTTTAAGTATACATTAATAGTTAATATTTAAAATACCATTACCCTTCAATTTTGACCAAGTCGATAATATTTTAAATATAAATGACAAATAATTTATGAAATTACCTTGTGACATTTTTGATAAAGAAAACAAATGTACTAAAGCAGCTCCATGACCATAACCAATTAATGTAATTTCATTTGAATTACCATTGAAACTTTCAATATTTGTTTTAATCCACATAATAGCAGCATGTAAATCATAGAGTGCATAATTTCCACTGATACCGTGATTATTTGTAAAAAGAAAACCTTTTTAAAAAAAAATTTTCAAAATAAAATAATTTCGGTTAGATAATCAAATTACTGAAAAAGTTTGAACGATTGTTCATTCTTATTTAGTATTTAAGTATTCAATTATCAAATTTTCTTCAACATAAAATAATCATAGTTAACATTTGTTCACATTTTTACGTCTACAACAAGTGACTGGTTTCAAGAGATATTTCCTAGAGTTCTAGTGAGAAACAGTGACCAGTGGAGTTCAACCAGGTCTATTGTAAGATAGTAACTCACTGAAGACAATGGTGGATGTGTCGCTCAATTTCGTGGATCGGTTGAAGTTAGACATTAACACTGTCGGTTGCCGGCTGGCTCAGTGGTCTAGAGGTTAAGTGCTCGTTAGGGAGACTGATAGGTCCTGCGTTCGAATCTCGCGATGCGGTTCGTAGATGAGCACTGCTGAGGAGTCACACAATAGGACAAAACGGACGTCCAGTGCTTTCAGGTTTTCCACGATGTTCTGGCTTCAATTGACTTATGATTTCAACTATAAAATTATAAAATTGATTATTATTTTCACGGAATTGTGTGGAAGTTTTATTGAAACAAGTAAACAGAAATTTATCATCACATTAAACTTCTATACTGAGATTATTTAGTTCATTTTACTTAGCTTCATTATGAAACCATGACTGAAATTAGTACCCTCTATTCAGTTGCCAACCTTAAGCAGGACTGTAGATTCTATTGAAGTAAAGTTTTTACTTCCACTCTAATTCAGTGTTCACAAACCAACTCAAATGGTTATTGACTTTTAGGACACTATCGAGAAAATGTCAAAAGGTTATAAATAACACCATTGATTTCAACAAGTATAGACAACAAACATCACATTTAAAAGAAAAACCAGTTTAGTGAAGCGTTCTTTTTTCTCATTTTATCAAAATGATAATAATGACGATAATAGTGATAATAAAAACTTTGTTAAACCTCTTAACAGTGAGGTAAAATAAATACAATCATTAAAGCATTATTTTTATTTAGGAACTTGGTAATAATGTTGTCGCTTAAAAAACACCATGGTAACAAACAGTTCAGAACATGGTAAAAATTTTCATTGAAAAATCCCTTTGAATAATTTAGAATTGTACATTTATACACACAGAAAATCAGTACTTGTACGAGAATTATTCATTGATAATGTCCTGTAAAGAGGCTATTGAAAATCTTCGTAGGCGATTCGGTTTATAAATGAATTCTATAAACTCGTGATACATAAATGGTGTGTGCTAATTATGTCGACAGTTATAAGTAGTATGTAACACCAATGGAAAGTGGAATGCCCGACAAAAGTTTGAGAAGATCAAAGAGAAGAGAATTAGGACAGAGAGTGATTGTTATGGAAATGAAGGAACGTTAAAGCCTTAGACAATTGATGGACATTTTGCGAATGAAGTATTTATTGTATATTTCTCAGATTTTATTAAGAGATTCTGTAATTTTGTATTCACATGCACTTCTGTCCTCGTTCACTACACATATACAACGTTAATGATGTTTCAATATGAGCTTAGATTAAAGAGATGCGTTTACTTATATATCAAATGATACATTTAACAACTCAATAAACATTAATAAAAATAATATTTTCAAAACTAAAGCAATACTTGTAGATATTTCCCTCTCTCTTTTGCTTAACTTCATGAAAGGAGTCAATTGCATGGAGCATCGTAAAATGATGTGATTGTTTGAACTTTACATAGACGTTTCTGAATACTATTTTAAATTATCAAATCAACTGATTATCATGTGTAAATTTGCTTAAAAACACAATGCAGAAATATTTTGAGAACAGAAATGTGAACTTACCTAATAATCCTAACCGATAATTTAACGTTATACCAATTGTATCACTATAACTAGCCAATACTGAAAGATCATATGCATTACCACTTCCATATTCATATGATTCACCATGAACAAATAAAAATATTGGTCGCTTATAGGATTTTCTTGTTTTGTCTATCAAGATAGTTGTTTTTTATTTTGGTAAATGAAAAATAAATTTATTTTTGTGTATTCATTAAAAAAATAGTGACTTTAGAAATCATAATAGTAAGAAATTTATTTATTTATTTAAACACATAAATATTGGTACAAAGGGGCACCAGATATATATGCAACACACAAATCTCATTTGATTTGTGTGAGAGCTGTGATACTGCTCAGGTGCCCAAACTGAAACAGGTGATTTACTTAAGGGGCCACACCCGGAGCCTTTGACCTAAAGATCTGATCCACAAGGCAGTGGAGCATCATGAGGAGATGCAGTCCCATGGTAGCCGGTACCCAACAATTGAATAATACGCCATTTGTTCCCTCAGGATACTGGAGCCCATGTGCACCATTGGTTTGGAATCAGGGTTTTCCAACTCCCCTAGGTGGACTCTCCGTGTCGATGAACCCAGTTAAAGCGCAGGACATTCGCTTTTCATCCTCTTACTTTCGTAAGCAGCACAGGTGCTGCCAGAAGGCAGTGAGTATGACTACTCTGGCAGAGGCTATATACTTTTGGCCATGTGAAAGCATTTGGAGAGGGAGAGCGGACTTTTCCCACTCTTGGCTGTACCAGGACATTTGGGGGCTATAGTATGAAAACAAATAGTTCGTCTAGATTCGAGAGTTTATCCAAGGAATTCATGATCAATAGATTTTATCAAAAATTCAATCTTTCTGAGGTAGCAGATAACTTTTAAAAATGCAATTATCATTTCAGTAGCTTCTTGTTTAGATTTATTTACCGAGTAATGAAACCTGATCCATATTCATGTTTTCAACCTTTATAAAATATGTAATTATCTTCAAAAACTTTAATTGCTTACAAGATCCATCATTTGTGTACATGTAATAATGTTTTATATTTTCTACGTCAAATTATTTATTTTACATAAGACAATATTTTTGTATATCTTAAATTTATACATTCCGACATCAAATTATCATTTATAAAATGGAAAAAATCAGTCTCAACAAATACAAAACTTCAAAAATGAAAGATTGGCGCCAGACAATAATGACTTTTGCTTTTACATCTAGTTTAATCTAACTTTTTAGATTAAAAATTTGATACTGAGGTTCTCTGTACTCCTTATTATATCCATGGATTCGACATTTGAATCAATTGTAAATGGAAAATTCGGTATATACCGAGAGGATTTTTTAAGAATAAGAGATTCCATTTTTTATATTGTGGTTTTGGTTAATTTTTTTAGTTTAAAAAACGGATACTTTCCGGTCAGTTATTGAATGTGTCCATATGAGTAAAATCTACTTTAAAAAACATAAGAAAGATTGGATATTGAACTAATAAAAAAATTGATGAGTTACTTTTATGAAATCTTTAGTAATATAATCAAGGTATATGAATCTTAATGACAGAATAAAATCTTTAGATTGTACTTTATTACTTAATGGATACTTGTATTGTAGCCTGGTCTACTTATATCCATATAAGTAGTATATGGCGATGGTCAGGCATAGAATGTTTTTTGACAGAAGACCGATAAGAAAAGTACTGAAATGAAGCGCAATCGATAGAAAAATGCACGAACAGTGGAATTAGAGAAGATGAACTGATATTTACAGAAAGAACAGTGAAGATTCAGACAATTGATTGTTATTTTGCAAATTAACTGTATGGTTATCAGAATTTAGTGAGATAGTCTGTAATTTGTGCTTAAGTACATTCGATTATCCCCAATGATTGTTTTTGGCCACTACAGTATAACATAAGAATCACACAGTTGAAAATAAAAATGTAAACGATTTATAATTATGTAGTATTTTATACGCACCTTTAAGTTAGTGGCTTTAAAAACATTACTCTCTGAAGGACATAATGTTAAGTACACTTTCGAAGTTGACCATATTTTCAGTAAACAACTGGAGTTCAGTTTAAACAAAGGATCAGACAGAAAAAAGTAACCATATTTTAAAATGTTTTGAATAAAAGATATATGATATACTTTGTAAATGATTATGGTTCAACATAACGTGTTACAAGACAATCGAAAGTAAGTCTTGAAACTAAACTAGCATTCATTTAACAAGGAATAAGTGAATCCTTAAACATACTAATGATATCCTCAAGATTCGAATCGGAGTCATTAAGTCCTACAGTTTCTTGAAAATAATAAATTCCAACTTAATTCAAAACAACTATCCGCTATTTTATATTCTTTCTTTTAATGGTTGTATAGTTGGGTAATCAGTCGAAGATCAACATAACCACCAAAATATAAATAAATTTACCTTAAATCAACCATTTTAGAACTAAACATTCAATAAAAGGAGAAGTTGTATTTTAAATGAACAGTGAATACATAATTAAGAGATATGAGTTTAACAAAACATGTATAAATATTTATTTATTAATGATAAACAAAAGAATTACGTATCTAAAATAACATTTCATCCACCTGTTTTATCATGTACAATTGTAAATGCTTTCCGTCGTATTTCATATAACGCGTTGGTTTTAAAAATTATTTTTTTTAAATACTTAAAAGACGGATAACAATCGACTTTTTTCAATGAATCGTTTTATCTATCTTTGCTTATAATGCTTATGAATTTAGGCTATATCGAGGCAATACGCACAGTATGCACATATGCCAATTAGAGACTGACCAGTTGCAGTCCTAAACATCAATGGGAAAATTCAAATAAACAATACTAAAGGCATTTATATTGTTATCATTTGAAAAAAATAGTATTTAAAGACCATAATATAATATTTTGATTTCTTTATCCATAAATTAAGATCAACGTTTTTGATACGCTTGGTAAACTTCTATTTTTAGCTTAAATTATCAGGAAGTTTTAATAGAAGTTTAAGTGTGACCTTTAAAAAAACCTTCATATCAAATGAACCGTCCTCAATGTGAATGAAAAACAACTTGATTTTCTAATTTTGTTTACTTTCTATGTAAAGTAAAATAACAGCCCATTATTCCTTTTCTTTAATTTTTGATTGTCCAAGAATTGTAAGGATGTTTTATCGGATGCAACAGTCGGTAATATAATATTTTGAATATAGGGAAATAAATATTGATGTTTTGTTGATAGGAAACAGATTTTCATGATAAGCAGAGATGGATAGTGGCTAGCAGTGGAATCTAGGACGCGCGTTTCGTCCTATTTGGGACTCGTTAGCTGGATGTACCTGCATCTCAGAGTTGATGTTCACTCCGGGACTCGAATCTAGTGCCCTCACTTCAAACGCCATCACGTTATCCACTCGGCCACTGAGTCCTGATAGCCACTTGCTTGTGAGATGGGGTGAAGTATAAATTCATTCAGTATTGTTTGTTTGAATCTTCCCATCGATTTGTTAGGACTGCAACTGGTCAGTCTCTAATTGGCATATGTGCATACTGTGCGTATTGCCTCGAAATAGCCTTAATTCACAAGCATAGTAATCAAAGATGGTTAGTGGTTGGCGGTGGAATCCAGAACGCGCATTTCGTCTTATTTGGAACTCGTCAGCTGGATGAACCTATATCTCAGAGTTGATGTTCACTCCTTAATTTTCATGATTTTCATGACTTGACTTGTGTAAAAGATTTTCCTTTGTCTAAGTTTATAGGATCTTGAATAAAACCAAAGTTTTTTAAAAATAAATTAGTTACTTTGAATCAACTCATTTATCCTATTATCTTCAATTCATAAATATGCTAACCTTCGTAAGTGACATGGACAAAGAATAAAGTATTTATTTTAGATGCGTAGTGTTTCTAAGGTCAGTTGTCAAGCAATTTAAATTGACATGAATTAAAATGAGACAGAAAAATAAGGAATTTGGTTTTTAAAAATAAATAAATGAATTTACATAAATGCTTACCTTGTTGTGGTACATAAATATTTAATGTTAAACAGTCTTCATCTTGATTTCTTAAAAATGGTAACAAACGTATCAATCGATCTTTTACCTGTTTCGGTATATCTTTATCTTCTAGATGAACATGTATTGATGGTTGTGGACATACTGGTGGAAGTATACTATGTGAATAAACACCAATTGGAGATTCATAGAAAAATGATGCAACTGAATGACTGAAACGATGTAATGCAGGCATTTTCATTATATCATGATTATTATTAAATTTAAAACTATCACTATGATTCGTAGTTGTAGCCATTCTGGATAATTGATCTCTAATATCAATATGCTGAACACCTAATGATGCATATCTTATACCATAATAAGCTATCACTGGATTTAAACTAGACAATGGTAAATGTAATTTTATACCAGTTAACCGTTTTCCATCGATTAAAGTGATAATATTATCATCAACATTATCAATATTGATACCATTATGCATAGTTTCTTGTTTTTTCAGTGTAATCTTTTGATTATCATTGTTCTTTTCATTATTAATCATCTTACTATTATTTGAATTTGTGTTTAATGTGAATTTGATAACCCAATTTTGAATAAGTATCAATAGAACAAATAACATACTCATATTTTTTTAAAGAAAAAGATACTGAATTGATGTAATACAGTTTAGTTAGATACAATGAAAATAAAAATTTACCGGATTATAAACATTGAGAGAGAGAGAGGTAAAAAAGAGAATTATCATCATAGAAACTAATTCAAAAGGTAAATATAATAAGCTTCTAACATTTTTAATTAATAATTTATTTGTTTAAATAAAATTAACGAATCCTGATTGGTGAATAGGAAAAGTCATTGTAAATAATTATAGGGGGAACAAAATTTATAATGAAAAATAAGATATGAGAACAATATATATTTGAATAAAATAAAAATAGACCAATCTAAAGATTCAATTCTAGAATATATTTGGAATTTTTCATTGAATTCAATAGATTGAAGTCATTTTTCATTGAGAAATGATATTGTCTGAATAATTATTTTAAAATTTGAAATACTATAGGTTCAGTACTCTGGCGCGAGATTGGTAGGTCCTGAGTTCGGATCTTGAGAGGCGAGGTCGTGGATGCGTACTACTGAGGAGTCCCACAATAGGACGAAATGGCCATCCAGTGCTTCCAGGTTTTCCTTGGCGGTCTAGCTTCAATTGACTCATGCTTTCAACTATGAAAATACTAAATCTCCACAAAACCCCTTCTAAATACTATAGGGTTTGATATATTTTTTTTCCTTTTTTAGAACTAATCAGAGATCTTCTGTTATAATTCTTATAAAAGGTTAAACTTAGGAACTGCAGACCTCTTGATAATCATGACGTTTACAGACTAAAAAGATTGACAGATGTGATCTTGTAACTCATCTTTGAAATGTTGATATATAAAGCAAATTTTGATAACTTGTACATAATTAACTTAAGCGTGTATTACAGAATGGAGATAATGGTTGTAAAATAAGAAAATTATCTCAGATATTTACGTCATAAAACATCTTTTTTTCAACTTGAATCTTTAAATTAAAACATCAGTTTAACTAAATTTTATTTTTATTTGTTGAATTTTCCAACATTATCTTATAATAAATTCACATAGTGTTGTTTGTTTGAATCTTCCCATTGATGTTTCGCACTGCAAGTGATCAGTCTCTAATTGGTATATGTGCATACTGTGCGTATTGTCTCGATATGGCCTTAACTCACAACCATTGTAAGCAAAGATGGATAGTGGCTAGCAGTGGAATCCAAGACGCGCGTTTGGTCCTATTCGGGACTCGTCAGCTGAATGTGCTTGCATTTATTAGATGTACATCATTTTTTAAACATTTCGGTTTTAACTTTGTCAATAAATATAAATGACTATTTTTTCATACATAGGCAACTATGGGTAAGTTATGAATGGTTGGAATAATTCATGTGAAAAATTGGTTTCTTGTTACGAAATATATCACAAACATATTGTTTAAAACTGTTAATCCCTCTTATAAATTTCAAAAAAAGCTAATTTTGTCTTATTGCTATAATTTTTAACCACGTACTTAGTTATGTGTTAAGCAATGATATGTGTTTGATCTAAGTAAAATATTCTACCGGAATAAATGTTATCTTAGATATAACATACACAAATTTTAATCTTGTATCATAAACATCAGTTTGGCTTAATTCATGATCTGACCTAGATAATTAAACATATCACAACAGATGGATCCCTTAAGATCATATAATTAATGAACTGCTGTGCGATAATCAGTTACTCGTGTTATTCAGTGGTATATTCATGTAAAACCAATCCTTAAGCCTGGGTAGTTTCATATAGAAAATTACTTGGCAACAAGATTGACTGTGTGCGAGACCGATTTTTCCACTAAGACGTTTCATTTCCTCCCAGTTATGTAATAAATCTAAATTAATAAATAAGATTGTCAATTTATTTTTTAAATAATTATTCCTTACTGTTATCCATGTTTAAGTTCGACAGTTTGTATTAAAATTGTTATGCATGTGCTTTCAATGTAAATGAATACTACAGTTTTACTTTGTAATCATATCAAACCGACTGTGGATAGATAACCTTGTATTTTGAAATATGTAATTATAGTGAGACTTGTAAAGTCTTAAACAGTAACTCTTATTTGTCTTTCAGTTTATTTACTCTTCATCTTATGTAAGTCATTCGAATGTTAGAATTAGTGTCACATCAGATAAAAAAGTCTCTTCCTATATTCTTACCCATGTTTTAAATGTACAATCAATCTACAAGTGAATACTAACACACAAGTCTAATCAATTTCGAAGATATGTCAAAGTATAACTATCAAATATTTTAGATTTTATGTGGAACAACGTGAACATCGTGTTTTATTACTTTGTAAAATAAGATCATTTGAATAGTTGGAGCAATAAATATTGAGGATAAGATTACAGTAACAACTGTCGAATCACTTAGAACACTAGAGATATTGTAACTTAGTAGATAGAATTCTAGCAGTATTAAAGGACTAGACAAGTATGGCAACTGTAAATATTTAGTATATTGATAAAATTTGAATTCAACTGAAAAAACGATATGTCATTATAAAAATCAAACTTTATATTTTAGATAGAATTGAAAAGTAAGCATGATATTTAGATGTTTCTTAAAGTGTAATTCAAGTCTTCAGCTTTCAAATATCCTTTTAACAATTTGTCGTTTGATTATAAAACTAATAACACCTTGCGCGAATACTTGTTTCATTTCTTATACTCGGTGCAACCCTTAGTCATAAAATTTACATTGGATTTCGTCTTTTAAGAGATGAGCAAAGAAAACGCTTGATCAAGTTGATGTCGAAAGTACCTGTTTTAAACTTCACATTTTAATGTAAGGTTTAGAGATACCATTTATTTGGCTTAATCGTTGTGCCCAAAACAGTTTAAACGCAGTACATTCCTCGGTAGTTGGATACTTCAATTGACACAAACAAAAATATATCTGGTAACCCCTGATTTTCAGTGTTTCCTCAGCTGACATTATTCTAATACAAAATCTATCTTAAAATTGAGCTAGTTTTTATAAAATCATCCAAATTAGAATACAATTAGTAGATCAGACAACTCATTAGGATTTTAAAATTTTGAAAATCATGTAACTAATCATACTGATAGCTCATATAACTATTTTTAACATTCATCAGTAATCGGCTTCGGGGAAATATTCCACACAAGTATCATTTTGGAAAATGTTTTTTCAAGTAAATATTTATTCCAGTCATGTTAAAAGCCAGTTAAAACCAGGCCTGACATTTAAAGTACAGACTTGTAAAGTTTAGTAAATCGGAATTTCCACTTAGAATATACTCCTTCTTATCAATAGGTGTATGTTGTAGATTTCCGTCAGATTGTTTCGAATACTCCTATAACTTAAACTACCTCTGTACCAAGTAACGAATCATGTCTGTTGATCTAGTTCAAAACTTCAAAAGTAACTTAATGATTCTACTTAGTGAATCCGAGGCGTTAGTAATAAAAACTGACAATATTTATTCATTTACTTTGAATACTCTGACGTCATTTTTCCAACCTTATCAAAATAAATAAAACGCATCGTCCGATTTCTCTGATCAAACAGCTGTATACCGCAGAATATGTGATTTGCTAATTTAGGCCCATCAAAAAGCAGATTAATATAACACAGGTCACTATTCAGCGACTGATCATCAAATGAACAACACACTGAGACCAAGTTACATTTAACTTCTGAGTTCTAAATAGGAATAAACAAGTGTCCTCGATTTCGCAGTCAGCCTTAATTCAAATAAATTAAAACTTATGTTTTACATGTTTGCATCATATGCTATCTTGGAATCAGGAAAATAAAAACGTATATCAAACATACACTATTGCATGAATATTCATAATGTGATTACAAGTATTTTTTCTCATTCTAAATTCGGTTGGTAAACTCTACGTATGGAGATCCTCAATCAAATAGTATTTAATATGTTAATTTACTGATTTCTTGTGAATACAATCACTAATAAATGTTTTCTCGTTATTCCTTAAAATATTCAAGGTTATACAACATTTTTTAAAATTTAACCACATAAATATTTATATAAAGGCGCACCAGATATACATGCGCCACACAAATCTCATTTGATTTGTGTGAGGGCTGTGATACTGCTCAGGTTCTCAAACTGAAGCAGGTGGATTTCTTAGGGGGCCACACTCGGAACCTTTGACCTAAAGATTTGATCCACAAGATACTAAAGCCCATGTGCATCATTGCTATGTAATTAAGGTTTTTCAACCCCCCTATGTTGATCTTCTGTATCCATCGACCTGGTTAAAGTGCCAGAAATTCGCTTTTCGTCCTTTCAATTTCGTAAACAACACTCACGCCACGAGAAGGCAGTGATTAGGACTTCCCTGAAAGAGGATATATACGTGTGGCCATGTGAGAGCATTTCGAGAGGGAGAGCGGTCTCTTTCCACTCTCGGCCGTACCAGGGCATTTGTTTACACAGAAAAAGTTAAGCACTACTAAATTTATTACCTTGTAAATACGTTATAAATGAATAATTAAATGACCGTTGCCTAAAATCCACTTATTTTCTAGAACATTGTTTATACTTGGTCAAGATAGTAGTAAACTTTATTTCTTACAGAAAGATTATTTTGATTCGTTTATTCTTTTTCTGAATCAAATTTAAACAAATAACTTATTATTATCATTGAAGTTGACTTTAAAATTTATTATTAACATTATTAATATTTTTCGTGTAGTGACATTGATATAGTTTGAATTTTGTTTACATTTAATTATTTTATATGACCCTGGAGGAGTTTCATTGTTTCAATATTCAATGGATAAGTAGCTTCCTTTGTAATATATTATTGATAAGTTGGCAAATAGAAATAGGATAATAATGATAAAATAAAGAAAAAAAATTATATTTTAGTTATTCAATCAGGCGATATTATTATTATTATTATTATAAATATTTATTTTAAATGAACCCCATTCAAACGACTGTCAATTTAATAATTTCGTGTTCAAATAACAAACACTGTTGCTTACCCATGATTTAAAATATTAGTCTTTTGGTTATTGAAGTAAGTTGAACTAACCATTTATAAAATGAACGTATTTCTTTTAGGTTAATTAATGTCACGTAGTTATGAAGATTGTTGTAAAGTTTCGGACCTAAGGTTTATTTAAATCGATACTCATCGTCAAGAGGTATCTACAATTTTCCTGAAACCTAACTTCACATGTCTGAGTTCAAATCCTGCGAGAAATACTGTTTTCATCAAGATTGTGCA